AATTATTTGATCAAACCGGTGTTTTCAAACTGAAATAATCAAATAATATTTTCCTCATAAATTAAAGTTAGATGTTAATGCATAAATAATTTTGAAAATATATTAATTATCGAATTGCATTTTTAATAGCGGATGTTTTTATTATACTTAGTCGAATAATATCGAGTTACAACTACTGAAAAGAGAATAGATGTAGCTATATAAAGTGGTCTCTTTTACTTGATAGTCTTTATACCATCCCGTTTGCGGAATTCGCAAATAAACCTTGGTTCGTTCCTTAAACGTACCATTAGGGTCCATTAAGAAACGCGACGAGCACTTTGGAAGGTACATCTCGTGGGAAATTGCCATTTAAATTTCTCCATGGTGAATGAGAATGAAAATAAAAAGGATGTCAACTTCGGTAAATTTTAAAGAACACTGAAAACTCGATGGTTTCATACTGTAACTGAAGATTTCTGCTGTTCGATGCTCACAGTTTTTCATGTAAACAAATCATTTTCTGTTAAATAATTCAATTTTACTTAAAACTAAAATAAAATAGTGGGACAATTTTTAACTTAGTAACTTATTTTTAGCAAGTTTTAACAGATACGATGGATGAACAAAATGGCGTTATTCGATTTAATTGTTTTAATTGCAATTAAAATTTGCTGTATTTTTATAAAATATGTGTTGCAGAATTTTAATAATTGTTATCCAATATTTTTAAAAATAATTGTAACAATAAGTGGGTCTACTAATTTTAGAATATAATTATAAAATATTGTAAAATTTGAAAATTTACCTTATTTTGTATAAAACTAAAAAAACCTGTAACACTGTGGAAATGAAAATGTTCATGTATGTTTTTGTAATTTTCATAACATTGAATAAAAAGAACAAGCATACAAAATTCGCGTAAATGTTAGAAAAGACATTTTCAATTTCACTTTATTTAAATAATCAATTATTCAAACAGTACTTCACGCGGTTAAATAAAACTTTGTTATTCTGGGACGAAAAAAATTTGTAGGAAAAACGAAATTCATATTTAATGTTTCAGAAAGTAAAATTGTAGAATTTTGTTCCTCGATAAATTTTTAAATACTTCTGTATACTTTTATCATATTTATGATGAAGTATTTTTAAGTGTATTTATGTTGAAAGTATTTACGTTTGATTTCATATTTTATTATATTTTAACACTGTTATTAAAACATATTGTGACGTCAGAAAATGACGTTGTTACATTTTAATTTTAATTTTAAATGTATTTATTCATTGAAAATAATTACGTTTATATTATTTGTCTTTCAGTGTATTTATAATGAAAATAATTAAATTTGTATTGTTATATTTTGAATACATTTACACTGAAAATAATTACGTAATTATTTTACATAAATTATTAAAAATTATTAACAATAATTACGCAATTATTTACATAATTATATAAAAAAAAATCGTAATCAAATGAATAAAAATTTGAAGTTAATTTTCAAGAAACAATTTTTTTAAGATTTAATGAAACATCAATGCATATGAATTTTTGATCATCACCCATTTTATAGGAGGAACGTTATTAGTCGCTCGTATTAATATCATAAAGTGTCTACAATCGGAAAATGTGTATCGCATCCAAATTGCAATCTAATTGATTTCACAATTACGAAAATTATTGCGCTGCAAATACATATGCTTCCACGAATGAAAGATAATACCTGGAAAACGTTAGCGATAACGATCGAACAGAGATTTATTCGTATAATGAAAATACTGTTTGCTATGCATTTAATAATTATTTTCGCTCATTAAAATGAAAGTTGTATTCATTTTCATAAATTCTATCTTAATACTGAAGGGTCTCGTTAAATATTTTTACGTGATTTACGGAAATATGATTTCTGCATCGTTTTGATAATATGTTTCCATTAAAAACAAATTAATGTACTTAATTTGAGATCTCTCCGTATATTAAAAGGGGATTCAAGGAATTTTTAATAAATTATAAGCTCTTGTATTTTGGAGATGATGGAAAACTTGTGTTCAATATTATGTGTATACGTAATTAGTGTATTAAATGAAAAGTAAGATATAAATTAATAATAATTCTAACGATAATAACTATAGTAATAAGGGTAATAATAACAGTTATACTGATGATAGTAATAGTAATGAGGATGTTGGTAATAATTCTAACGCTAATAACAATAGTAATACTTTGAGATATTGAATTTTTACAATATTTAGTATTATGTTATTAAGTGATACATTAATATACAATATCAGTAATGTATTTTTATAATATTTTGTATGGAAACAGAAGAAAGTTGCATTGTGTACAATGTATTGATGCGGAACCATGAGATGGCGCGTGAAGGGGCTGACACAGCTGTTTGGAAGACCACATATCAAGATCAATATACTATTCCTTAATCCCTATATTTCCGAATTCCTATATCAGCTACTTTTTATACTCTTGAGGTGCAATATATCTACAAGTATCTGTATATCTTCGAATACCTTACATTCCAGAATCCCTACATTTCAGAATCTCTACATTCCCAAATACCAACATTTCCAAATCCCTATATTCTCGAACCCCTACATTCCAAAATTCCTAATTTTCCAGAAACCTATGCTCCCAAATCCCTGCTTTCCCAAATCTCTACATTCCCAAATTCCTAATTTCTCAAACTCCTATGTCCCCAAATCCCAACGCTCCCAAATCTCTACATTTTCAAATCCCTCAATTCCCAAATCCCTATACTCCCAAACCCCTATGACCTCTATGAACTCCTATGTCCCCAAATCCCAACCCTCCCAAACCTCTACATTTTCAAGTCCCTCAATTCCCAAATCCCTATAGTCCCAAACCCCTATGTCCCTAAATCTCCAAATTCCCAAATCCCTATATTCCCAAACCACTATGTCCCCAAATCCCAAAATTCCCAAATTCCAAAATTCCCAAATCCCAAAATTCCCAAATCCCAAAATTCCCAAATCCCAAAATTCCCAAATTCTCACATACCCAAATCGCAATAGCCCCAAATCGCCATATTCCCAAATTCCTACATCTCCAAATCGGTACATCCCCAAGTAGCCACGGCACAATTGGTCAGAATAGAAAAATGGACGCCACTCACACGTATTTTCGGCGGTAGATTGGCTCTCGGTCACGCACACCAATTAGGCGAAAAACAATGACAGTCTTGAAACGTCTCTCAAGTGAGCGAGATGCTACTTGCGTTCAGCAGTTGTCATTATTATTCTTATTTGCCTATATGTCACTGGAAGTGTTCGTAGATCTTCTTTTACTTTGAGTCACGCGCCAACTCATGGGTTGATATCGGTACACACTTAATAATTATATCAAACAAAAAACAATATATCAATTAATATATTGTACATTATTATATTAATATATTGTATTTTCACAATCTTCCACATGGAAAAGTAAAATACTTCCATCACGTACAAATATTATATTATAATTAAATTTGTAAATTAATATATTGAAACCGTATTTATGAATATTTAAAAGGTTATGAATATTAAAAATAGTTAATCGATTCGAAAGGTACTTGGCTTGATTAAAAATTGTTGTTCGATGAATTTCCACAGATAACGAAGACCGCGTATTTACTTGCGGAAGTAATATACGTGAAATGAAACAAAAATATATTCAATCTGTTGAAAGATTATTTGTAAATGTTTCTCAAATCAAAATAATGAAATTCTACGCCACGTTACCGCATTTACAATAATAACTTGGATACAACGCTATAGAATTTGCTCAAAATTAATTAGTTGATTTACTGTAGGCAAATATTTCCGCCAGTGTATATTTTCGAATCTGTTTTAATTACGAAGCATGGTTTTCCACGAGCCATAAACTTGCCGGAATAATGTACGCGTTTCATTAACGATGAATGTTGTGGTTTGAATGAATGAAAGTGGAAAATGTTATTTAAATTTATTATGTAAGGTAAAAGGCGGAAACCAGTTACTTCTCAAGTGTATGATTTATGAAAATTTTTTTCGGTATGTTTTATTTTTACTTTAAAAATTGTAGGAACGTTTTAATTTATTGAAATTGTAGACATTTCTTATTTAAAATTTTAGTTACATTTTATTAACTTGTTATTCGTTGCAAATTTCAGACAACAAAATGTATGCAAAATATAAAAGATAATTTTTAACAAAATTGCTTACCGTTTAATTTCACAGAAATCCTCATAATAAAGAGCAGTCGAAAAATATTTTTGTGTTGAAGAAATGAAAGAGTATGTATTCGCAAATATTTACGACTAGTAGTATTTGTTATGAAACAATGTTTGTTTATTTGTGTGAAAATGAAAGAGGTGGTATAAGTGTTGTTATAGTTGTATATAGTTAGAAAATATATTTTTTGAAGGCAATAATTATTTGGAATTATAGATAACTTGTTAATTACTATGTTTACTTTAGGAGTACATAATGTTTTTTTATTATAACACTGACAAAATATTAATAATATGAAATATTGTTAAAATTAAAATTATTGTTAATTAAAATTAATAGATATCAAGTATTAATAAAGTAACCAAAAATAGCAATAGTAGAAATTATAATAATAACCAAAAACAGTAATAGAAGAAATTACAATAATAACCAACAACAGCCATAGAAGTAATAATAATAATAACCAAAAATAGCACTTCAATAAATAATAATAACAAAAAATAGCAAAAGAACAAATAATAATAACCAAAAATAGCAAAAGAACAAATAGCAATAACCAAAAATATCCACAGAAAATAATAAACAAAATCTCGATAACATTTCCACAAATGTTCACGAGATATCAGAACACCGCAAACAATTTCCCCCAAAAATGTGTTGCATACCATTATTAATATCGCCAGACGAGATTCCGTTTAACGCGTCAGAACTACCCACGCATCCCCGATACCGCAAAATCTTCAGTCCTTTATACGCGCAACAACGAAACTAACAGAAGCTCTGTTCATTTGCAGATTGGAGCGTTGAAGGAATACTTCCTGTTCGCCGACAAACGACTTCACAAACGATCCCTTTCCAGCAGCGAGTCGCATCACAAGACGCTAAGGGATGAGCCGCGGGTAAGTTGAATGCATCTTTTGGTGTCGGACTCGCAAAGCCGTGCTCATCAAACTCTGCCAGCCCCTGGCACAGGTGCAAAATATAGAACCGACGTAATTTCACGGCGTCTGTCATCCCGCTACGCGCATTGTTTACCTCGACGTTCTAATTTTCTGCTACTCCTTGCACGCTTTAATGCACCCCGTCTACATCTGATCTCAAGTCGCGCGATTACACGAAACGTTCCGTGAAAATATTCATATTTGAATTTCTTGCCACTTAACCAACTGTGTCTTCAGAGATCTTTTGTGAAGTGCGAAATTTCGAAAGATGTTCCGATGTCAAACGTTGAGTTGGCGCGCAAAACAAAGTAAAAGAGGTTCTATGAACATTTCCAGTGACATATAGACAAATAAGAATCATAATGACAACTGCTGAACGCAAGTAGCATCTCGCTCACTTGAGAGACGTTTCAAGACTGTCATTGTTTTTTGCCTAATTGGTGTGCGTGACCGCGAGAGCAAATCTACCGTCGAAAATACGTGTAAGTGGCGTCCATTTTTCTATTCTGAACAATTGTGCCGTAGCTACTTAGGGATGTATCGATTTGGAGATGTAGGAATTTGGAAATATAGCGATTTGGGATGGGATGTAGCGATTTGGGTATGTGAGAATTTTGGAATATAGGAATTTGGGAATGGAGGGATTTGGGAATGTGGGGATTTGGGAATGTGGGGATTTGGAAGTGTAGATATTCGGGAATGTAGGAATTTGGGGATGTAGAGATTTAGGGCTGTAGGGATTTGGGAACGTGAGGATTTTGGGAATGTTGGGATTTAGGAATTGAAGAAGTTGGGAATTTTGGGATTTGGGAATTTTGGGATTTGGGAATTTTGGGATTTGGGAATTTTGGAATTTGGGAATTTTGGGATTTGGGAATTTTGGGATTTGGGAATTTTGGGATTTGGGAATTTTGGGATTTGGGAATTTTGGGATTTGGGAATTTTGGGATTTGGGAATTTTGGGATTTGGGAATTTTGGGATTTGGGAATTTTGGGATTTGGGAATTTTGGGATTTGGGAATTTTGGGATTTGGGAATTTTGGGATTTGGGAATTTTGGGATTTGGGAATTTTGGGATTTGGGAATTTTGGGATTTGGGAATTTTGGGATTTGGGAATTTTGGGATTTGGGAATTTTGGGATTTGGGAATTTTGGGATTTGGGAATTTTGGGATTTGGGAATTTTGGGATTTGGGAATTTTGGGATTTGGGAATTTTGGGATTTGGGAATTTTGGGATTTGGGAATTTTGGGATTTGGGAATTTTGGGATTTGGGAATTTTGGGATTTGGGAATTTTGGGATTTGGGAATTTTGGGATTTGGGAATTTTGGGATTTGGGAATTTTGGGATTTGGGAATTTTGGGATTTGGGAATTTTGGGATTTGGGAATTTTGGGATTTGGGAATTTTGGGATTTGGGAATTTTGGGATTTGGGAATTTTGGGATTTGGGAATTTTGGGATTTGGGAATTTTGGGATTTGGGAATTTTGGGATTTGGGAATTTTGGGATTTGGGAATTTTGGGATTTGGGAATTTTGGAATTTGGGAGATTTGGGATTTGGGATATTTGGGATTTGGAAATTTTGGAATTTGGAAATGTGGGAATTGAGGAATGTGGGGATTTGGAAGCATAGGTATTCGGGAATGTAAGAATCGAAAGTGTAGAAATTCGGAGCTATAGAGATTCGGGAATGTAGGGATTTGGAAAGGAAGGTATTCGGAAGTGTAGGAATTCGAAAATGTGGAGATTCCTCAATACAGAGATTCGGAAATATAAGAACCCTGCAATATAGAAATCCAGGAATATACAAATTTGGAGATATGATACCTCAAGAATATAAAAACTCAGCTCTAGCAATTCACAAATATAATAATTTAGGAACAGTATAATGATCTCGATATGCGCTCTCCTAAACACCTGAGTCAACCTCACGCGCCAGCTCGAGGGTTGGCATCGGTACACAAACAAAATTGGAAGATACGGAGATCGTACGGGCCTCACACGCTAGGTTCACACGTGAAACCTATTATTATATTTCACGCACTCGAACATGATTTTTACGCCTCCGCCTTTCTGCGGTCGAGGTGAACCATCTTGGGATCGAAGATGGCGACTACCATCGTTACTCTCTTATTTGTGGAGATACGAAAAATTGCTTCGAGAGAAAGTTATTGTGTTTCGATCGTGCAACTGTATTGTGGCTGAGAGAAAGTTATTGTGTTTCGCTCATGCAACTGTATTGTGGCGGAGGTCATCTAAGGTTGTGTCCTCCGATATTTCACGGAGATGGTCATATTTTTAATGGAAATGTATATCTTTCTTTATGGAGATTCTTTGGGTCATTCCGAGTAAAAAAGTATTAGAGTACAATATCTCTAAAATTAATAGTTCTTCAATTATTTAAAATTCAAAAGTGAGGTACTTGGTATAGAAGATTGAAAATAACTCAGAAAGTATTGACTTTTAAGGTACTGTATTCCAACAGGTTTTTACATAGAATGTTCCACAGAATCGACCTATGTAATCAAAAATATATACTTCCAACAAAACATCAATCACCTTGAAGTCTGTTGAAAAAATGGGTCAACCTCTTCACGCGCCAACTCGTGGATTGACATCAGTATATCTGAAACGTTCGAAATATTTATAAACGTACAAATCGTTCTTCATGTTTCTCTCCCGAATCACCTATTTGCATTTAACAAAATATTGACCTTGAAGTCTGTTGAATAAAACCCCTCGAGAAAAAATTTTCTTCTACCATCAATTGTGCATTTTAAAACATAACTCCGTCTAGACGAGTTTTTTCATACGACCACAAAGAATATCGATATTCAACTTTATTTATAACAGTCGGTACAGTAGATTTCGAATAAATGATCCCTTTTCTTTCACTTTGAATTACTTCTCTTTCAATTACGACAATTTCCGTTCAGCTTTAAAATTATGCCCAGAAAATGTACATTATTAAAGTAATTTATCAAGATAAAAAAATGAGCTTCAAAGAATCCAAGAAGATAAAATTGCAAGATTAAGAACAGAAAGAATTTGAAATTCTTATGTAGCGAAGAATTACGATCCTCGCACACTTTAAGTCATGTTTCCATGCATATGGAATATCTTCCCACACACCACGCTGCCATAATTCCGTGTTAAAGAAAGAAAAAAGGAAGCGCACTTCATTGCAAACAGGCACAAATTAATGAAACGTGTAAAGTAAAGTCTGCTGATCATCGCGGATAAATTTGGCAGGTTTACTATGTAGATACCTTTTAATTATCGTTGCACACGTACGAGGGTGCTCGTGTACGCGGATCGATTTCCGTGAAGCCCAATTAACACCGTTTCGTGTATCTACTGTAATTTATTTAAAAGATAGTTTAATTTTGTTTCATGATTACCCTCCAATTCTTCTGATTAATTAAGCGATTGGATCGTTTCGAATAGTATATCGGAGCGCGTGTTCGGCATCTTCGAGAAATTATTTGCAGGATCGGTTTTTGTTGTTTCTTCCTCGAGATACAAAAGGACACTTTGTTAGGAGATTGGTGCAACGGGAGACGAACGAAACGTCTTTTAATTAAAGCTTTCTTCGATTGTTCGACCGGTTTTGTCTCGGGTTCTTTCAACTGTAACTCCTGCTAGAACGACTATAAAAACTCGGCATGATCATTGAGAATGAACGTCTCCAATTGTCGACGGGTACTACGAGCAAAAAGACGCCGGTAAAATATCGGCGTGTTTCCGGAGATAATATTGTGCTTGCGCCATCTTTCCAGTCACGGACATTGTCTATTTCGCGCCGATAAAACGCTTCGTCGACACGAACGGCCCTGAAAAGGTTTATTCGACAAATACCGAAGCCATTTCAGTGCCTACCGGATACGTAACGCGTATTTATGGCGAAGCTGCAGTAACGATGGCTAAAGTCAACGTAACATAATCGAGCAAGTACGATTTGCTAGCGACGTAATACGATTTATGGTACGTCGCCGACTCTGCGGAAAAATTCGTAACAAAAGAACCCTGTAAACTTTTATTTATCGATTTGTAGGTCTTGCGGATTTATAGGGCGCAACGGAAATAATGGCATGTTTCATTCTTACCTGATTATTGTTCGCTACAACTCACAATCGTTTATTCTATATTAAAAACATTGATAGAGTGCTTATACAATTATTTTCTTGAAGCTTTAAGCTTTAAATTGATGTGCAATTTATGATATTTTGCGATACTTTTATGTCATGAAATCGTATTAAATTTTAGTGGTCTAATAAAGTATATTTCATTGTTAGCAGTAACACGTTGCTATGAGGCCGACGATTAACCATGTTACAATAAGAATATCTAGGGGGCATTTATATAGGTCTTTTCAGTAAATTTTAAGCTTTACATTGATGTGCCACAATCGTCATTTGGTGATACTTTTCTGTCATGAAAGTTTGTTAGACTTTTATGTTTCAAAATCTATCGATCTGTCACAGTTATTCGCTACAACTACCGATCGTCTACTTCTCATAAAACATATCGATAAAGCATTTATACAGCAATTTTCTTGAAGCTTAAAGCTTTAAATTGATGTACAATTTATGACATTTTGTAATACTTTTATGTCATGAAATCGTATTAACCTCCTTTTTCAGAAATGAAAATTTAATTCACTTCAAACTTAAATAACTTTCATTGCAAAGTAAATTTCCTCAAAATCTTATTGGTGCTTTATAGAACTTGTGACAATATTTCACTTTAGTTTGAAACATTTTTCTGTATTTTTTGTGTCTTCGAAGTTATGAACGAATGGCAGTATTTGAGGTTAGGTTTTATTTATTCGAAGCATGAGTTTTGTACTTGAAAAATATTCTTGTTACAAAGTTATTCTTGTTAGGAATTATCATAAAAATCAGTGAAGATTCATTTAAACACAACAATTGAAACAGTACTCTTGAAATTCGATGCCTCAAAAACCAAAAATTTAGCTTCAAAGACCACAGGTTGAGTATCGAGCGTCGTCGACTCTCAGCGTGAAGCACACATTGTCTACATTGTTCAATTTACTAACAACGTCTTATTTTATTTAAACCTGAAGATATTAATGTCAGTTTCATAAGTCAACTTGTTTGTTGCTTAAAACGCAATGTTAATAAATAGATGGGAGCATACATGCAGCATTGACAGTATTCGACAGTGAGAGAGCTGTCGATCCACGAAATACTGTCAGACTATGAGGTCGAATAATGAAAGGAGTGTATAACATGGTCGCCCACCAAAGAGGTGCATACAATCAGATTATACCGGGAGGTTATTACGTGGAATCTAATCAGATTTGCCGTCAAACAGCAAATCATTTAACGTCGTTACATGCTTGGCGTATAATAACTTTTGTCACACGGCGGGTAACCCTGACACGCACACGTCACCGCACGCATTTTAAATTAGATACTTCGATTAATGGGATGCAATCGAACGCTTGTCAATCACCATGACGTGTACGCAAATTTGTGGTAATTTTGTTTGATGAAGTAGGAACCATGGCACAATCCCGGGGATGTTCCCGGGATATGTGAATTATAACAGATTCTGAATCCGTGTAAAATACATTTGGTCAGTTTGATCTTCAATAATAAACAATTATAGAGAAAAGATAATAATACACAAAATTGAAAGAAAGATTTAAAATTATACAAATATTTTGTAATGGAAGTCTTTAGTTAGTTTTGGAAAATTATGTAAATTGTCTGCATTTTTTATTTTAACAAAACAGGACACCCTTTGTTACAAATAATTATAATTGAAATACCATTAGGGATATTTTTCACGAAAGATTGTTAGACTTTTATTTATCGAAATTGACTACGTATCTTAATTATTCGCTATAACTCACGATCAGCTATTCTGTGTTAATAACATTGACAGGGTGCTTATACGCTCATTTTCCTGAAGCTTTAAGCTTTAAATTGATGTGCAATTTATGATATTTTGCGATACTTTTATGTCATGAAATCGTATTAAATTTTAGTGGTCTAATAAAGTAGATTTCATTGTTAGGAGTAACACGTTGCTATGAGGCCGACGATTAACCATGTTACAATAAGAATATCTAGGGGGCATTTATATAGGTCTTTTCAGTAAATTTTAAGCTTTACATTGATGTGCCACAATCATCATTTGGTGATACTTTTCTGTCATGAAAGTTTGTCAGACTTTTATGTTTCAAAATTTATCGATCTGTTCGTTACAGCTGCCGATCGTCTATTTCTTACAAAAAATATCGATAAAGCATTCATACAATAATTTTCTATAAGCTTAAAGCTGTAAATTAATATAAAATACAAGTCATTTTGCAATAATTTTATTTTACAAAACCATATTTAAAAACGTTGTATCAATCACTCTGCAAAAGAATAACAGTTAAAGCAAATCAAAAAGCCGTCTACGAAACAATTTTTATTTCAAACAGAGTTTTCTAATTGTGGAATAAATAAATCTCTGTAATGAAAATAATGCCTCTTCGAACGCAGGCTGTTTATAATGCATGACCACGTATCCAGGTTGGCGCGACTGTATGTGGCTTGGATTATTAAAAATTTTACGTGTTTGCGGTTACGCGTCAGATTTTTTTTAGTAACCCCCATACGCGCAATCAGGCTGCACGATTTATCATGGAATATGCAGGCGCGCAGCAGCGACCAAACGAAAATTCACGGAATATACGGATCTGGCCGTATGGCGCCTTGTAAACGGTTCCATCAACGAGGAGCGTTTTCGTGGTCGAGCTTTAACTCGACGGAGCGTGAAACGCGTGACGCCTCGGTCATCGTTTCATTCATATCGCTGGACGATTCGACGTTAAAGCCTCGCCACTGCAATTCACGGCTCCTGAATTTTGGCCGGCGTCCAAAATCCCTATGCTAACTAGCGTTCCGTGCCGATAAGTGTCACGGTCGTGTACCACCGCTGGAAAAAATGAACCCAATTAGCGGAAATGTGTTCATCAAATCGATGCTAATGAAATTTTTGATTAAAGTATTTATTAGGCAAATTTCGAAACGCGAGTCAATTTAAAGCGTGGAATTATAGTGGCCATATATTGACCGATTAGTTAACAAAATGCCTGATCATTAATTGCGGCAAATACTTTGTTACGTTTCGGAAATTGTAACGAGATTTCATGACAGAAAAATGTATCAAAATGGCACATGTGATATATCAATTTAAAGCTTGAGGCTTGCTGAAAATAACCGTTTACACAATTTATCAATATTATCAAAACGGAGTGACTGATTGTCGGCCTCATAGCAACGTTCGCAAAGGATCATGTCGTAAATTGATTAATTCTATGTATTCTCTAATGAGGAACCAAACATACCAATCAAAATGGTGCATGTGGTATATCAATTTGAAGCTTGAGGCTTGCTAAAAATAGCTGCTTTAACGATTCATCAATATTTTCAAAACGAAGTGACTAATTGTCGCCCTCATAGCAACGTTTGCAAAGTTTGCAAAGTTGTTGTAAATTGATTAACTCTTTGCGTCCTCTAATGAAGAAGCAATTATACCATTCAACATTATTCTACCTAAGAGGATGCGTTTGATTTCTTATAGTACATGGTTGCTTTGATGCCGACGATTAGCTATGATGCATTGAAAATATCAACGGGGCATCAATGCAGTCATTTTCAGCAAACTTCAAGGTTAACATTGACACATCACAAGTGGCATTCTGCAATACTTTTCTGTCATGAAATCTTAATAGAACTTTTACACACTAGCAAGATATTTTTCTCAAGATGTTAAACGTGTCAAAAGTTAAAAGGTGTCAAACGTTTCTTAAAGTAATAATTCTTATCAAGATCCTTCATCAGTCACTTCTTACGAATATATTTCACCTTCCAAATCCAACCAATCTGACTTATCTTCCAAACCAAATACGCAACGCAAACACGTGTGTTTCTGTTTGTCCCAAAGTGCCTCAGACGGTTGTCAGGCAAATCCATGTACCAAAATCGCTAAGGGTGGATCCTTCTGTGTTTTTCCAGGTGCGATGGTTCCAGCAGCAGCACGAGAAGAAACGCAAGAAGAGAGATTTCATGCCCACGTCGTTCCCGTTCGCCGATTATCCGTCGTTTTTCGACGAATTTGGCCCTCGTCCTAGGCAGGCCACGTTCCATCGACAAAGGAATAGAGGCGTACCTCTTCAGAACCTGTTCACGGATCCGCTCTTTAAGGAACAGTGGTACCTGGTAAGTGGACCTCTCGATTTTGCTACCTTCCGAATCGACCAAAACCAACTACGTGACGTGACTACCAGCTTCCTCAACGTGGCGGACTTTAACGACATCCGATAACAGCCATAACGTGTTCGAGATCTAGTTTCCTTTCGTCTTCGAGGTGTTTCAATTTCTGACGATTTTGCTTGTAGCCACGGTTGCAACAGAAATTACATCCTTAAGATGATTCATCACAGTGCTCTTAGGCACTGTAGTCACTATAGTCACTATAGGTCTATAGTGACTCTCGCGAATGTCATAGATTACATAGCGCCATGGCTCTACTATCCCACCGTCAGACTCTTAACACCAATGACAGATTTGCATAGAAATTTAAGCGTAGCACCTACCACACTAGAGCACCTATCACACTAGAGCACCTACCACCCTAAAGCACCTACCCCCCTGGAGCACCTACCACCCTAGAGCTCCTGCCACATTAGAACACCTATCACCCTAGAGTATCTACTACACTAGAGCACCTACCACCCTAAAGCACCTACCACCCTGGAGCACCTACCACCCTAGAGCTCCTGCCACATTAGAACACCTATCACCCTAGAGTATCTACTACACTAGAGCACCTACCACCCTAAAGCACCTACCACCCTGGAGCACCTACCACCCTAGAGCTCCTGCCACATTAGAACACCTATCACCCTAGAGTATCTACTACACTAGAGCACCTACCACCCTAAAGCACCTACCACCCTGGAGCACCTACCACCCTAGAGCTCCTGCCACATTAGAACACCTATCACCCTAGAGTATCTACTACACTAGAGCACCTACCACCCTAAAGCACCTACCACCCTGGAGCACCTACCACCCTAGAGCTCCTGCCACATTAGAACACCTATCACCCTAGAGTATCTACTACACTAGAGCACCTACCACCCTAAAGCACCTACCACCCTGGAGCACCTACCACCCTAGAGCTCCTGCCACATTAGAACACCTATCACCCTAGAGTATCTACTACACTAGAGCACCTACCACCCTAAAGCACCTATCACACTAGAACACCTACCACCCTAGAGCACCTACCACACTAAAGCACCTACCGCCCTACAGCACTCGTAATTCATCACATTTCACAAACTAGTAGTTCCCTTTTAATCAGTACTAAATTACTTATAAATCCTCCTAAATATATTTGCAATAGTTCATTCCATTCATTAGTCACAGTTCCCAGTAGTAACTTCGACCATTTTAAATCAGATAACTTGTCAGACTCTTAACACCAGTGACAGATTTGCATATAAATTTATGCGCCAGCTTGTTAATTGTGAATGAGGTTTCAGATCAGAAATACGACTTGAAATATTAACTCCTACAAGTGTTTCAGTCGCGTCAAAGGTACTTAATTATTTCTGCAGTATTAACCTCTTAGACACGGTCCACTATAGTCGCTCTCGCGAATGTCATCGTAGGTTACATAGCGCCACAGTGGCTCACTCTACCGGCTCACTCGCTCACCGTTTCAATTGAATGATCCTTTTCATACGTTTTGATTCGCACTTTTTTGCCTTCACCACGTTTTATAAGAGTATTAACAAATCCCACAAAAGTACATTACATGTAAATAAAAGGTAACGCCAGGTTTAGGCACCATGGGGCACCTCTTTGCACTGGTACACCATATTGGAAACATTTGAAAATTACATATTTTGTGAATTTTAAAAAGTAAATTATCAAGATTAAAGTATATGTAACATCTTTAGGAAAAATTGTAATTTAATCATCGAAAACTTTGTTCCAATGTACTCGTAGAGAACAGCATTGTCACACATGGTAATGCTGTTTACTCTGCCATGCAGAGAAGCGAACTTCATCCTCAGAGGTTAATTTGGTGTTAGTTATTGGTTGCCTCCGTATCTCTATTTTATCCATAAGCATTGACGAACGCGCTGTTTTGACCCGGGGCCACCAAAACCTCGTACCTTCTCCGTTCGATTCTCCGGCTCCTAATTTATTCTCGCGTCGGAAAGTAAGAACGATTCGTTTCTTGTCGATACGAGCGAGAAATTTGAACCCGGCCAAAGGTCCTCCTTTCTCATCCAGCGGCGTTCATAATTCTCCGCGCGTCGCCTCGAACGGTCGTTTCCGGTACAGTTAACGGTGATCGCTGCTCTTGTCATTTCTGGAATTAACGGCGGCAACGATCTATGTACCGGCGCGGTATTAACGATCAGATGTTTTTCATTCGCAAACAGGATATCCGCCGCGAAATCGGACACGCCCCATCGTAGGAACCGGCGGGAACCGTGAATACCTAGTTCGCTTATTATTCTGCCATTAAACACCGATTAATGGAACGGTTAAATGTACAGTACTGCTTGAAAATATTCAGGCCTTACAAGATTTTAGGATTTTCGGGTTTTCAGATTTTTGGGTATTGGAATTTTGGGATTTTGGAATATTGGAAGTTTAGCGATGAAGGTTTGAGAATTTAGGGATTTGGGAATCTAGGTATTTTCGGATCTAGGGAATTTGGGATTTAAGAATATTGGGGTCTAGGTATTTTAGCATCTAGGTATTTTGGGATCTAGGGATTTTTGTATCTAAGGATTTCAGGATCGAGCGATTTCGAGATCTAGTGATTTTTTAGATTTATGGATTTTTGGATCTGGGGATTTTGAAATCTGGAGATTTTAGAATCTAGGGATTTAGTGATTTTGGGACCTAGGGATTTTGAGATCTGTGGATTTTAGTATCTGAGGATTTAGTGATTTTTGGATCTACGCTTTAGGAATCTAGGGATTTTGGGATTTTTGTATCTAAGAATTTCAGGATCGAGCGGTTTCGAGATCTAGTGATTTTTTAGATTTATGGATTTTTGGATCTAGGGATTTTGAGATCTGTAGAGATTTGGTGACCTAGGGATTTTGAGATCTGTGGATTTTAGTATCTGAGGATTTAGTGATTTTTGGATCTACGCTTTAGGAATCTAGGGATTTTGGGATTTTTGTATCTAAGAATTTCAGGATCGAGCGGTTTCGAGATCTAGTGATTTTTTAGATTTATGGATTTTTGGATCTAGGGATTTTGGGATCTGGGAATTTTGAGATCTAGAGATTTTAGAATCTAGGGATTTAGTGATTTTGGGACCTAGGGATTTTGAGATCTGTGGATTTTAGTATCTGAGGATTTAGTGATTTTTGGATCTACGCTTTAGGAATCTAGGGATTTTGGGATTTTGGGACCTTGCGATTTTGGAATGTAGTGATTTTAGCATCTAGGAATTTTTTGATGTAGCGTATCGAGATTTAGGAAATAAAAAGTTTTGGGATTTGGAATCTTCGAATTCTGAAATTTTAAAAATTTCAGAATGTGGAAATAGTATAATTTCGAAATTTGAGAATTTGGAATTTGGAAACCTCATAACTTGACAATTAATTTTGTGCAACTTTCAAAATTTTTAAACTTGTAATTTCGTAAATTTAAACATTTTTGGTTTTCAAATTTCGAAATTTTTTATGTATAACACTAAAAAAGTTTATAAACTTGTCTATACATAATATCGCACACGTCGATCAGAAGTGTCGTATTTTGGAAAGGAAATCGTTCGATTATTACAGTCAGTCAATGAATAATCGCGCATTGATATTAAATAAATCCGCGACGCGATATAACGCATATGGATGAATCGAGTGTCATCCGTCATGCGAACAAAAAAAGAGGCGAAAAAAAAAATTCGTTTGAATTATATCGAAAAGTTCCATTAGTATTGTCAAATAAATTTATCCGTTTGACGCGTACAGATTTATCGTTATCGGTACGTTTTCGTACACGAAAGAATCACGGGATATTTATGCCTCTGCCCATTAGTGAAGTTAATTAATTTCTCGTATCGCAAACACGATATTTCATTTCTGACGAAAATTATTACCGAATTAGTTCCGTTCGTTTCTTTTCGAGTTTACACAGCCGAATAGTTGAATGAGGTGTACCGTACGACGAAAACGTAACATTTCGAAATTGCCAACCGTGAATTTCACCGTTTTCTACGAAAGAAAACGCGATGAAAACGTTTCTCGCTTGGATTTACACTTTCACGCAACACTGGCTCACGTTTTAACGATGTTGAGGTTTTTCTACGTCAATTTTTAATTACCCACAATTCTACGAACAAAAGCTGCCACTTTTTTGTTGGTTAATCACATGATCTGATAAGACACTGCGTCCGTATATTTAACGCGTTAGAAGTAAATTGGACGAAAATGTTTTTACTGATACTTCAGGTTTATCTTGGCGGATTTTACGCTTTGGTTATTTCAAATTTTTTGAATAAAACTTCAGATTATCTTGTTTCATCGTGCGACTTTTCAGAAAACTGCAGTTATTTAATACGTGGGAGAAGAAAATAAAGTGGATGAAAGCTGCTTTGGAGGGATTTGTTTTTACTGAGATTATGTGGGCTTTGTTAGTTTATCTTCAATTCTGTGGTTATGGATATTATCGATCTCGCAATATCGGTTAAATGCCTTGGGACACGTTACGTGAACAGAAATTGTGAAATCAAATTTTGACAAAATAAAACATTTGACTATGTAAAAAATACTGTAACATGCACTTATGAAAACTTCTATAATTCCTCTTCGTAACTTTTCCATAAATAAATCGCAGTTTTTAAAGTACTATTAAAACGTTCGATCCTAAGATTACATCAGTTCGAACGCGATAAAACGAGGGTAGAAAACATCTCCAACTTCACGAAATACATCTTCAAACGGTCAATACATCTTTAAACGCTTGCAGCGTCCGCCATATTTAGCGCCGATTAGACACCGTTCATGTCGCTTGAAGTCCTAATGTTTCTAAGCGGACTGTAAGTGGAATAATTGTATAACACCCATATGTGCTTTCTACTTATTTTCAACGATGTTCCAAACTGAACGACCGCAATTTATAGGTGTAGTTTAATTGTATAACACCGATACTCTACTTATTTTTAACGATGTTCCAAACTGAACGACTACGTGTCGAATGACGTTCCGAAGCGAACAACGTGTCTATGCATCCGATGTTCCGAAGCGATGAACAACCCGTCCATTTCGTGTCCATCTGTTCGATTGCTTATTTCGTAAGACGAAGGCTCGGTGTGGACGTACAATTTTTACGAGCAAGGCTGAGGGAAACAGTTCCTAATTTCTATTGGATATGCAAATTCGGCTGGAAATGGAAATCCGAGTGACTGCGGAGGATCGGTTCTCCAAAAAGTGACCGCAGCAAGTAATAAAAGCGGGCGATACCTCGACACGAATAGGAAACTGCAAATAAAGGACTCTACTACTAGATTAAGGGTTCTGGCAAGCTGATGCGAATAATAAACTATACTCGATGGACTCATTGCTGCGGGTAAAGAACTTATTGATTGAACCTATAGAATGTGACGGAGAAACTTGACGATTATTGTATAGATAGGAACGTGGATCTCTCCAGGTTAATAATGGTCTTGATTCTGAGTCCTTATAACCCCCTGTATTTTCAAATTTCAAATGCATTTATGTTCGAATGATTTTACAAACTATTAAAGATTGATATCTGTGTGGAATGTGTTTTAAAACACAGTTGTCACCAAAGATGTAAATTGACCATTATAGACCCACCCTGTAATTTATGATGAAATGTATACAGCATAAATGTGATAAATAGAAGTGGAAACCACAGGAAATATCAAAGTTGATATCTGTAATTCCAGATGACTTAAATTTAAAAATTAGCTTTCTATTTCTAATGAAGCTACTTATACAAGAGTCCTCTTTATCGGTCTTCTGGCAAAATAGGCAGAGATAGCTAACGTTCTACGCTTACGAATAAAAAACCTATTAATTTGAACCTATACAATGTGTCCCGAGTAACTATGTATTATTATATTCATTTGTAGGTATATTATTGTATAGATGAAAATTATTATTAAATAAATTTGCATCTCTCTATGATTATCTATTCTAAGACTCCTTAATGTTTTCTTCCAGAACGGCGGCGCTAAAGATGGCTACGATATGAATCTTGGACCCGCTTGGCAAAAGGGTTACACAGGCAAGGGTGTAGTTGTGTCGATCCTCGACGACGGCATACAAACGAATCATCCGGACTTGGCGTTAAATTACGATCACCAGGCCAGCACGGACATCAACGACAACGACAACGATCCGATGCCAAGGGACAACGGTGACAACAAGCATGGAACACGATGCGCTGGCGAGGTCGCCGCAGTTGCTTTCAACCAATATTGTGGTGTTGGCGTCGCGTATAATGCCAGCATTGGAGGTAACACGAATTTCATTCGTTTTTCTTTTTCTTCCACTGTGTTAACACGAATTTGAAATTACCAAGAGGGAATATTTTGTTTCTTTACTTTGCAACATTTGTTAGGGCTTTTGTCGAAATCCGCGTTGATTTCTTCATTATTTAAAAATGAATGAAACTGGGTATTACAGGAATTAAATAAACCCCTAAGAAAGAGAACAAATTTAATTACATTCAGATAAAGAATTATTCTTCCCCGAGATTTTTCTCTCCCCGATGAATTATGATCTTTTTCGACGAGGTGTTTGCGTGAAGTTGGTCAGGGCAGAGTTCTGAAGATTGTCGTATTCGCAAAGTTTTCTTTCTTTTGTCGAAGGGAAAAAGCGATCGAGTTACTTCAGATTTTTATTTATGTCACTTGGAAGCAGAGTAAGCATCTTTGAAACACAGAGAATAGTAGAATTGTTTTGAAACTTTTAATTCTTTTGCGGTGGTGTTATAACATCAAAATATTGACCGTATTCTTCTATTGTACCTCCTGTTGTTTTCATTCAATCAACTAAAGTAATAACATAGAAAAAAATCTGTGTTCCTCTGTTATTTTTAAACTTTCAAAACATCTGTTAGTAAAAGTAACAATTTGTTAAAACGAGTATCTTGTTGAATTGAATTGGTACACAAAAATGTTTCATTATAAGGAACGTAACCTAACCTATAATTCGTTATAATTTTCTTAATATGTCAAAGGTTATAATTCTCTTAATATGTTCAACGTTTAATTTTTTTAACATGTTAAAGTTTGTCATAATCATATTTAATCATATTTATAAAAACAAGTATCTTGAATTCGTATAACAAAAATGTTTCGTTATAAGAAACGTAACATAACCTGTCATTCGTTATAATTTTCTTAATATGTCAAGGGTTATAATTTTCTTACTATGTCGAAGGTTTAAATTATTTTAATATGTTAAGATTTGTTATAAGCATATTTATAAAAACAAGTATCTTATTGAATTGAATTGGTACACAAAAAAGTTTCGTTACAAGAAATGTAACTTAACCTATAATTCGTTCTAATTTTCTAAATATGACAAATGTCATAATTTTCTTAATATTCTAGAGGTTTTAATTTTGTTAACATGCTAAAGTTTGTCATACTCATAGTTAAAAATATTTAAAAATAGAAATAGCAAGTTATAAATCGAATTTTAATTAAAAACAGGAATAGTTTGAAAAGTTCGAGTTTTATAAACGTGTAGAACGATTTCGAAACGTGATTGCAGTGCATTAAATTAATTTCACTTTAATTATAACAGAGTGGTGCACATATTGATTTATTGTTCTAACAAACATTATAATTATACGTCGATTTAGTCGTCATATTTGATTTTCAATCACTCGTATATATCGTCTAATGACGTTATAGTTCCCAGCGGTTAATACTCGAATAAACGATGGAAACTATGTATTCAAAGAAGGATCGTAATATTTTTCAATTTACCAGAATCGATTTTTTAATTATAACTTTCTGTTCTGCTGAGGAATACGTAATAACGAGTAAATCCCGGGACCGCAGAGATTAATAGTGTTCATTATTCAACGCTACGGATTGAATTAACCAGTCATTCTTTCATACTCTGTTATAGTTAGACTTAATATCGTTTTAACCTCGGTTCGTTATTCCTTTATAATTTATTCTGCATTCGAATCAATAATGCAATAAACTTAATTTTTCGTTTATTTTATTTCCGAGAATTGCTGTTTTATAATTATCGTGCCTTGATGAGGGAATAAAATACACAATTATGAAAAATAATTATGTTTATTCTCTTTTTATGGTTAATGCAAGCCAGAGGTTGGTATTTATTTTTATTTAAAATGAAGATAATATTGACATAGCAGAAAGGTATCAGAAAATAAAAAAGTTTAGACGTGCATAAAAAATATAAAAATTGATCAGAAGTATAGAAGTTAAGCAGGAAATAAAAAGTTCATCAAAAAATAAAAATTCGTCAGAAAATAAAGTTCATCAAAAATATAAAAATTCATCAGGAAATAAAAAAGTTCATCAAAAATGTTACAAAGAGCCAGTCACCAATATACCTTCTTCCCAATTTCCCTCAATTTTTTAATTAATTTATAAATCCTCTACAACCTCAACACACTTCATTAACATCATATTACCTCTCCTATAAAATCCACCCCAAATTCAAAGTAAACGAAGTCCCATGCGCGCATAATGCTCCATATTTTTAAAAAATGTTTTTCCACGTTGATTGTCGCGAAGGCAATGAATTTCATCGCGCCACTTCGATGCCACACAGGTACGGCGCTATTCCGAACACGTTAAATCGAACAGGGATTGTTGTCATGCATTTTAATGGAAACCAGCCGACAATATTATCGGAACTCGATATTCCCACGACGTAAAGAGACTTGTAATCGGAAGGGGGCGGTAGGGGGTGGGTGAGGGAGAACGATGCATGAAACGAGTGACACCTCGGTAATTGTTATGGGGTAAAAAGGAAAAGGTACGCCGTGCTTCGGGCATGAACATCGACGCCCGACGGAATTGTTCAGATGTAATTAAACAAAGTAAATGAAATCGGGCCGAGAATGGAATTTATTGAAGTTAATGGAAGTGTTAATGGATCTGCTACGAATTCTCGCGCGATTTAGCTGCCTACTTGAATCTACATTATTCCTTTTGCTAAAATGTTGCATGGATACGTGTTTTATTCGTTTTAATGAAATTTCAGCTGCAGTTTTAGGGAAATTATTGGACTGAACAAGTGAAAAGCATTATGCACTTGTACAGTTATAACGTTTAAGGGATTTCAGTATGTAGTAGCAAACTTTATATGTTACATAATTTTAAGATATAAAATGAAAAACATTTGAAACACAATGAAAAACAGTATCATTAATTTTTATTTTTTTGTGTGAAAAAGAATATATTTTAGATTATAAGTAATAATATTTTCGTTGTAGTACATCAGGTAGATTGTGCTTTTATGCTGATGTGAGATATGAGACATAAACGACCTTCATCACAAAGATCATCAATGTTGCATTTAAAAATTTAATTAATAGCCAAGAAGTTACAGAAAAAGTGACAATTCTATGCAGAATAATTACAATAATTATATACTGCAACAGTTGAATCTATAAAGATAAATGCTTATAACCTTAGCAAACAGATATTGAAATTTCCAAAAGCATGGAGTGTGAAGCCACTGATTTTCTATGAAAGAATTATTCTTTCTAAAAACCATTTACATGGGCTTGTAGGTCTAAAGAAGCACTACAACATTTGTTTCAAATATTCTTTAATATCTTTCACTGTTAACAATTTATACCCCTAACAAACAGATATTAAAATTTCTAAATGTATGGGGCGTGAAGCCACTGATTTTCTATGAAAGAATTATTTTTTCCAAAAACTATTTACATGGATTTGTAAGTCTAAAGATGCACTACAAAATTTATTTCAAACCTTTTTTAATATCTCTCACTGTTAACAATTTATAACCAGTTTCATAGACAGCTCGTAAGGGTTGTTTTCTCTGAAAGTAAAAAGTGTTCAGGAATGAAATATGGTTATATTTTTAGACAGAGCAATGGTTCAAAATCAAATCATATGTCAAGTTATCAAACCATACATCAAATATCAAAGCATACATCAAATGTCAACAAAGCATACATCAAATGACAACAAAGCATACATCAAATGTCAACAAAGCATTTATCAAGCGTCCTCAAAGCATCATCCGGGTACCTTCGTTAATCATCCACCAAACCAGTTTCAAATTTATCGAAAGCTGCTTCTAATAATACAGCATAATTACGGAATTAGGTAATAAAGATTAAGAGGATTTGAGGGTCCAGATATTAGCTAGATTCGCGGTGGTTTCCGAGGGAAATCTTGCGGTTCCCACGAGGGGTAACGAGAAGGAAAGCTATCTGACACACATACCATCCGTGTTCTCAGGCGTGCGAATGCTCGATGGCCCGGTAAACGATGCTGTCGAAGCCAGAGCACTCGGATTGAATCCTGATCACATCGATATATACAGTGCATCATGGGGGCCCGAGGATGACGGAAAAACTGTCGACGGCCCTGGCCCTCTTGCCAGAAGGGCGTTTATTTATGGAGTAACCAGCGTAAGTATCCGCAGTTTCCTTATTTTCATGGTTTTAAAGTGGCACGTTTGGACTGTGAGGTCAAAGTACTTTGCTTTCTACACATTTCTACAAAGCACGTTGGTAGAAACTAGAGTTGGGTTAAATATTACTGTGGTGTTTAAAATTGCACTTTTAAAATATTGTGAACACATTGATTTTTTATTATTTTTGCTGATAAATAGTTGTGGGTGAAATTTTGTTACGTTTTGTTATGCTTTAAAGAATTTTTGAAGGATCTCTTGAGGGTGCAGAAAATATTTGTTCATATTATTTAAACAGTTAAACATATGATTAGAAATGCTTATATTTAATAATTTTAATAGATAGATATTAATTATATATTACATTGAAGATTAAATGTAATACAGATATATTATTTAGTATAACATAATAATTGAATATTTAAATTGTACATAATGTAGCATAGCGTAGTCATTATACAATAAATAATTTTAATGGATACATACAATAGGTTTTGGTAAACAAAAATATTTATAAACTTGAAAATAAATATTCATATAAGTATACTGATTTATCTACTTATTAACGGGATTTAAATTCTTTAAAGAGTACAAATTAAAAACAGAAACGAGAACAGGTTTCGCAAGATAAAACGTGCGTGCACATATGTGTGTGTATGGTATTTGCAGTGATACGTGCATGAGTGATACTAGTAGAATATTAAAATTTATTTCAGTGCCTGGAGCTTGAGACAGCATGTCGCACGTGCAACTAATTTATCTGTATTATAATTTATGCCACAGTGAGATACATTCTTTCACGTGTTCCAATTATAGCAAATCTATGTCTGAAAGCAGTTATCAAAATGAATGAGCCTGAAGGCAGAATATCATGTTCTCTGACTGCTTTATTAAAGTCGGAACGCATTCTATCGCCATTCGATTGTGAATGCACGCATCTACAATTAATAGCTGCATGGAAATAGATAAACTAGTCTCAGGTGGCACGTCATCTCGCGAATTGATTTATTGAAATTATTATGTGTCCCGTCGTGATGTGACATTCATTTGAGAAGATGTAAAGTAATTAAGGAAAACAGGAAAATTGATAGCGTGTCTCTTGAATTAATTTACATAATGTTAGCTGTCGACTCATTTGATGGATTCATAATTAATTGAAGTATCAAGTATGCTGGTTTAAAGTGATATATCATGTCTCATACTAATTTATTTGAGTCACCGTTGATATTGATATGATATGCATTTATCAATATTATGATTTAAATATCAAAGCTAGTAGGTTTGTTAACTCAAGGCATAGCATTGTAAACTAATTTGAGTTACTTAATATATAATTTGAATCATTTGCAGAAGTTCATGTTTGTGATCAATAGAACGTTTGCTAGTACCTTAAAGTGGCATGTCACGTCTTAAACTGGTAGATTTCGGTTACAATGTAACTTATAACGACGAAACGTTCGGTGCTGAATGTTCTGATGCTCTATTAACAGCAACGTCAAAATCAGCCATTTTGATGATGGTTTAATATAGCATGTCACCTCTCGAATTAATTTACATAATGTGAGCTGTCGATTCATTTGAGATGTGAACTCATAATTAATAGAAATATCAAGATTGTATATGGTTTATGTTTAAAGTGACATATCATGTCTCATACTAATTTGAGTTACATCATAATTTGAATCATTTGCAGAAGTTCATGTTTATGATCAATAGAACGTTTGCTAGTAGCTTAAAGTGGCATGTCACGTCTTAAACTGCTAGATTTCGGTTACAATGTAACTTATAACGATGAAACGTTCGTTACTGAATGTTCTGGTGCATTATTAATAGCAACATCAAAATCAGCCATTTTGATGATGGTTTAATATAGCATGTCACTTGTTAAACTTCATTGGAGTTATGACACGTTTTTTCGTTATAGAACTATCATTACAGCACATCATTATGTGTTATAATTTATAGTTAATAATAGTTTTTATAGTTAACAAAAATCAAGTCATATACATCAGGTACATTGTAAAATATAGTTCTTCATGAAATAGCATGTCAAAGATCGTTATTTACCCGACGTATCCCATCACGACGGAACATTCATCTCGAAATGTACGAGTCAATAGTAGTCCGTTACGTAACATCTGCAGTTATTTCCTAATGTCCATCGCTTTCCTCGAAAGTATCAGTGACGGTCACCCGAAAGCACCCTTTCGCAAAGTAAATATCATCTGTAACGCGTTACACCGTCGCAGGCTTCCATTACCATCCTCCTTGATCAGCCACCTAAACATGTCCCGAAAATTGCAGTCCAAACATCGCCAAGTGTCCCAAGAGCACTTTAACGAGGGCCACTTCAAAGCTCTAACGATTTCCAAATGAACAGGGTCGCAAAGGCAAAGGCTCGATCTTCGTGTGGGCATCGGGCAACGGTGGTCGGCACACGGACTCCTGCAACTGCGACGGCTATACAAACAGTATTTTCACCTTGTCCATATCGAGCGCAACCCAGGGCGGTTACAAGCCCTGGTACCTCGAGGAATGCAGCTCCACGTTGGCGTCCACATACTCGTCGGGCACGCCGGGCAACGACAAGAGCGTCGCCACGGTGGACATGGACGCGAAACTGCGACCGGACCACATCTGCACGGTCGAGCACACCGGAACTTCCGCCTCGGCGCCCCTGGCTGCGGGCATAGCCGCCCTGGCGCTCGAGGCGAACCCCAGTCTCACGTGGAGGGATATGCAGTACCTGGTGGTCCTCACCTCCAGGTCCGGCCCTCTCGAGAAGGAACCCGGCTGGATATTGAATGGCGTCAAGAGAAAGGTCTCCCACAAATTCGGTTATGGCCTCATGGACGCCGGGGCTATGGTCAGCCTCGCCGAGCAATGGACCAACGTGCCGCCTCAACATATCTGCAAGTCCGATGAGATCAACGAGGAGAGACGTATCGACCCGACCTACGGTTACACGTTAAGCGTCTCCATGGACGTTACCGGCTGCGCTGGATCCTTGAACGAGGTTCGATTCCTCGAGCACGTGCAGTGTAAGGTAAGAGGGTGTTAATTGTCATCAAGCAACATGGCCAGCGCCACATAATGCCATTTTCACGGTTGTAAGGATATGCCACGGAAATTTTGGATGATGTGATTATGTGGAGGCATTGCTGTTTGTGGAGTTACAGCCTTAGGTAGATGCAGCCTTAGGTAGAAACAGAATAGCAGTAGACTCTTGTTAGGTTATCACATGCAATATGAAGTAAAGTAAATGTCAAGTGGTAGACAGAGTTGGTGCTATACAGTACATAATTTTTCTAGTGATAAGGATGTGGGAGGGAAATGGGTGATGTGATTATGTGAGTCATTACTGTTTGTGGAGTTACGGTGGTCTCTATGACTGTGGTGCATTCTTAGGTAGAAACAGAATAGTAGTAGATTCTTGTTATCACATGCAATATAAAGTAAAGTAAATGTCGTCAAGTGGTGGACAGAGTCGGTGATATACACCACATAATAGAGGTTTCGTACTGATAAGGATATGGGAAGGACATGGGTGATGTGATTATGTGAGTCGTCACTGTTTATGGAATTAGATCTCTATGACCACGGTGCATCCTTAAGTAGAAACGGAATAGTAGACTCTTGTGTTATCACATACAGTAAAGGGGTGTTAATTGTCAACAAGTGGTGGACAGAGTCAGTGTTACACCACATAATAGCGTTTTCATAGTGATACGGATATGGCATTTGGGTGATGATTATGTTAAAGCATATTGTCACTCTGAAGTTACGTGGTATTTATGCTCACAGCGCTTCCTTAGATAGAATAATAGACTCTTGGTATGTTGTCACATGCAGTATAAAGTAAAGATGTGACAGTACTATACCTAACCTATAATCTAACCTAACCACATAATAGCGTTTACATACTAATAAGGATATGGCTAGGAAATTTTGGATGATGTGATTAGGGCATATTGTTATTAATGAATTAGAGTGGCCTTCACATCCACAATACATCCTCAGAAATAAAGTTGTATTACATTGTCACAACACAAGGTAAAAGGCAGTTGTCATCAAGTGGACACATAACCATCGCCATAAGTCACATAATATCATTTTCATGATTGTAAGGATATGGGAGGGAAATTCGGGTTATGTGATTGTGTCAGGGTATATCGTTACTGTTTGTGAATTACGGTGGTCTCCGTGTCCATAGTACATCATTAGCTACAAATGGAAATGCTTCTGTTATATTGTCATGCGATACAAAGCAAAAGGGTGATGAATGTTATCAAGTGGGATCACTACATGCCACATAACATTTTTATTACAAGGTAATTGATGATATGATTATGTAAGATCACATCGTTACTACTTGCAATATATTTTAACCTTAAATTAAAAATTTTGATTTAACTTAAATTTTAGAATTTGCAATTATAAATGTAGAAGTTGCAGTATAAATGCAGAAATGTAGAAGTTAACATTTCCTAAATTTCTATCCTCATATAAATAAAACGATAGTTATTAATGTGCATCAAGTTGTAAGTGCGGCAATATAACGAGAGTCTATTATCTTGTGATTTAACGTACGTTGAATGTAATTTGGAAGAATTTTTCTTGTAGGATAAACTGATGATTGAAATGTCAAACAGGTTTCATTAAGGTTCTTCCCTCGAGGCAATCTGCGATTGCTGTTGACATCCCCGATGGGTACAACGTCGACTTTACTGTTCGAAAGGCCACGGGACGTTCTTAGCTCGAGCTTTGACGACTGGCCCTTCCTTAGTGTCCACTTCTGGGGTGAAAAGGCGGATGGTCGATGGACATTGCAGATCATTAACGCCGGTAATCGGCACGTCAACTCCCCAGGTAAGTACTTTTAATACCTTTTCTTTCTCGTCAAATTAGTTGAACAAAAAGTTTCATCGTTTCTCCAAGATTTGTTCAATTGCAAATCTGTCATTAAAATCTTATTATACAAAATTTTTATTTATTTTTATTATTTATAACTGTTATGATTTATTCAAATTTTTACTTTAACATTGGTAATTTATTGATGACAGAAATTAATTTTTGATACCAATAATAAGAATTTAATTTCAAGTAATTTATTTTATTAAACGCTGTAAATGACCAAAATTTTCATTGATTAACAATAAGTAATATTAAAATTGTATAATCTTGAAGAGTAAAATAAAATGATTGTAATTTTAGTTTGGCTGGTTAAAAGTTATTTTCAATTATCGCTTAACTAATAGTAAAAATTTGTTGTACTTACATTTAACCAGTGTTAATAAGTACTAACATTATAACTGTGAATTTCCATCGAGTTTATTTATCCATAAAAACTGTTGGTAGAACAAGAAAATCAATGAAGACAAAAATTCCCAAAGAGTTTATTAATCCATAAAAACTGTAGGTAAAACAAGAAAATCAATGAAGACAAAAAAATCAGAAAAGAAAACCATTACTCAAGAGCGAGTGTACAAAACAAATATGGTGGATGCAAGATTTCTTTTAACTCTATTAACATTAAGTTGACACAGAAAATTTATGGAGAAAGTTTATAAGGAACAACTAATAAAATTATTGAAGATTATTGAAGACTTCTGTTGTAAAAAGTAAATGGAATCGTGTTTACGGCAGAAATACGTCGGCCATTTTTATTAATTCACACACTAGCCGTTAATGTCGCATGTTGAATTTATACTCGCAATAACAGTAACGGAGGGAAAATGACACATTTACCGTAACTGACGGGAGTACGTAACAAGAAACATAAATGGATAAATAAACAAACAAACCATTGAATATTAGTAGTATAGATATTAATAACAATTAACAGTGCTCGAGTCTAACTAGAAAAAATCTTTGTCATCGATATTGGTTACCCGATAACCGACAAAAATTTCCCGCCAGCAATAATAGTTATCAGTAACCAAAAATAAAAATAAAACACGGGCCGTCGATAATGGTTATTGGTAATCAAAATAAAATTCCGATAATCGATAATGGTTATTGGCAACTGAAATACAATTTCAGTTATTCTTAGTGATTAGCTGACCAAAATTAATTTCTGTCGTTGACAGTTGCCAGTGTTACAGAAGAATATTAATTGTTTGTAATGGTTATTTGTGACTGAAATAATTCTTTAAACATATTAAAACTAAACATATTTAAATATATTAAAGATTGATGTTAAAGATTAATATGTTTAAATATGTTTAAGATTAATATGTTTAAATATGTTCAAGATTATTCTTTAATATTTTTAAATCACTAATCATGTATTAATCTTTAAAATTGTTATCACAGAGTAAACCAGAGGCGACACTCTCTGTCGGCACCTTTGATCTCTCGAAAACTGTCCCTTTAAATTGGTTGTACAAACTTGCGGGAAATTTAAATCGAGCAAAATTACTTTCACGTCAATCTCTAATAATTTGGAATATATTTGTAATAAATTTTCTGTATATAATATTGTCTTTTGAGGTATTTTCATCAATTTTACGGTGCTGAAAAGTTGAAGGAGAAAAGAATAAAAATGATTGCTCTATAAAATATATTTGAAGAATATGTATTACGGAAATGATTATTACAAATAACTTGTAAGAACATGAAAAACTATATATCACAAGAAATTACAGATGAATGTGTTACAGAGATATGACAAAATATTTATTACAAATAAATTACTGGTGAATATGCAGGTTTAAACTATTCTTTTTCGATTGTCATACTTCTACGCTACGCACATGCATACCACTCGATTCTTTTGATTTGGGCATTTAAATTGGTTTTCTGTCTCTCTCTAGGTTTCCTTGTCTAGTGTCGCCTCTTGTTATATCTACTCTTTGTTTTTATAACAGTTGTGTCTATTAGTAACCTAACCTCTTTTTAATAAACTGAAACTGAAATTGACTAACTGAGAATAATGAATAACTGTGGTCTAAAATAAACTAAATATAAGTCTTTTGAAAATTATTGTTATTAACAAATTAACATGGTTCTTATAAATAACGCTTTGTCGATGGGGTTATAGGATTTTCGGAAGGTATACTAATCTTATATTATTAACTGTCTATTACAGTTTTAATCGTTAGCCTGAACTTTGTTTAATCTTATGTTTACTTTTTCAGGAATCACGCGGCGCTCTCATGTTTTTGTCAAAGTATAATTGTTGCTTTATAATATGGTCGCAAGACAGTATCTTTTTGAATAAAGTTCAAATTTATAGTCAAATTTGATGACATGAAAACCTGAAAGAGAAAGTAGTAGAAACTTGAGGGGTCGATTAAAAAAGTTTATAGTATGTCTGACTTAACGTTTACCTTAATCACTGAAAAACAAGGAGGAAAGCTTTACTCGCTTCACTTTAAAGTTCCATTTTCTTTGTATCATAATGACAATTCAACTTTTTATTCATTTTCTTACATTCTCAAGTTTATGAAATTTGTAATATAATGAATATTAATTTATTCTATACAATAATAATAATAATAATAATAGCTAGTTTAGAATTCGTAGAAATGTTACTCAAGTTTTGTAATATTTATTTTTCTTTTTATAACTGTCATTCAAATTTCATAGAATTTATTGATTATTGTAAGTGTCATTTAAAATTTATAGTATTTATTGTTTTTTAGAAATGTTACTCAAATTTTGTAGTATTTATTATTTTTTTACAAACGTCATTTAAATTATATAATATTTATTGTCTTTTTAGAAGAGTCATTTAAATTTTATAGTATTTATTATTTTTTAGAAATGTTATTCAAATTTTGTAGTATTTATTGTCTTTTTAGAAGAATCATTTAAATTTTATAGTATTTATTATTTTTTTAGAAATGTTACTCAAATTTTGTTGGATTTATTATTTTTTTACAAATGTCATTTAAATTATATGTATAGTATTTATTGTCTTTTTAGAAGAATCATTTAAATTTTATAGTACTTATTATTTTTTAGAAATGTTATTCAAATTTTGTAGTATTTATTATTTTTTTACAAATGTCATTTAAATTATATAGTATTTATTGTCTTTTTAGAAGAATCATTTAAATTTTATAGTACTTATTATTTTTTAGAAATGTTATTCAAATTTTGTAGTATTTATTATTTTTTTACAAATGTCATTTAAATTATATAGTATTTATTGTCTTTTTAGAAAAGTCATTTAAATTTCATAGCAGTTATTATTTTTTACAAAAGTTATATTTATGATGAAAATTGTATAATAATTTCTTGTCACTTTTATAATATTCAAAATAGAACATAGATAACCTATACGCGTAACAATTAATATATCAAATTAAACTAGTAAATTAGCACGTTTAACCAGAGAGATAACTCAAAGGGACCTCTAGTGACCCAGAGATAACCGAGTGTTAAAAATTTCGCGCCTGAAACATAACGGGGATGATCTCGCCCTAGAGAGCAATAACACTTTCGGACCCAACTGTGTAATATTACACGTTTCAAATAGGTGACGATTATCGCACCTATTACCCTGAGATCGAACGCGTTAAAGTATTATACGTTGACACTCCATGAAATCTTTGTACATTTTTTAAAGTTTCAAGATTTTTTCATTTGTAAATTTGATGCTTCCAAGTTTTCCAAAAATCAAAAATTTACTTCAAAATCAAATTTCAATGAAAAATTAAGAATTTTATCAAAAATCTAATTTCAATTAACAATCAAAGAGTCACTCAAAAATCAAATTTCAATTAACTGTCAAAAATTCATTCAAAAAGAAAAAATTACTCAAAAGTCAAATTTCATTCGAAAATAAAAAAAATCAAGTTTTATTCAAAAATAAAGAAAATCAAGTTTCATTCAAAAATAAAAAAGATTCACTAAAAAATCAAATTTCGTTCAGAAACAAAAAAGTCAAATTTCATTCAAAAATAAAAAAGATTCACTACAAAATCAAATTTCATTCAGAATTAAAAAAATCGTTCGAAAATCAAATTTCAATCAAAAGTAAAAATATCACTGAAATATCAAATTGCAACAAGCAATTAAAAATTCAATCAGAACTGAAATTTCAGTCAAAAATGAAAATTCTATAACCCACCAATTCAATCGACAAAGTGTTTGGCCATGAAAATTAAAGAACCTTAAAAGTCTGCAAATAAACTTGAAAAAATGTTATTTGTTACAGGAATTTTGAAGAAGTGGCAGCTGATATTTTACGGAACCGCGACGAACCCGATTCGGATCCGAACACGTCAATTTAACCCGGTACAAGCGCATTCTTCGTACGCCTCCGTGCCTTATCCATATCCTGTAGACGATGATCCATTATCGCTGGGCCATCGCGGCGACGTCGACTTCTTTCCTTCGTCTACCTTTCAGGGCTACCAGGGCCCGTACGTTGGTTCCGCGTCCAACGTCCAAGCATCGGTGGCGACCCTGGATGGTTCTTCGGCACCTATCCTGACCAATCGGCTGCCCGGGGACACGTCCTCGTCCTACGATTCGCCCTCCTCGTTATCCCAAGTCGGGGACGAGTCGTTGGACACCACTAGAAAGATCCTTCACGATTGTGATCCTCAGTGTGATCCTCAAGGCTGCTACGGCAAAGGACCCACACAGTGTGTTGCGTGTAAAAATTATAGACTCGACAAGTAAGTGATCGCTTTTTAATTTTTGGTTCATTTAAGCATTATTTTATTAAGCTTTATTAAGCATTTTCTGAATGCTTTGAATTGAATTTTTGGGATTCTGATGGAATTGGAATTATTCTGATTTTTTAGTGTATGTGAATGTTTTAATCACATTAAAACATTTGTGAATCGTTTCTTTGAAATATTAATATTATTTTGGGGCAATGTTATATTTTAGATGATATAAGTGTCTTGTAGATGTTGGTTGTTTTGGATTTGAACGATTTTTTGCGCTTTTATATTGGTGTTAGATTTGAATTTGAATTCCCGCCTTTTTACGTTGATATAGTACCTTTTGAATTTGAATGACTTCCCACCCTTTCGCGTTGATGTGATAGTTACATTTGAATTTAATTAATTTCCTGCCTTTTTACCTTGATATGGTGCAGTTACTTTTAAGTTATTTACGTTAATGTGATGTAACTTTTAAATTCTTTTGATTTCCCGCCTTTTTACGTTCATGTGAAACAGATACTTTTGGACGTGATTTCCCGCGTTTTTACGGCATGGTTAGGTTTTTTAATTCAACCAAATTCACATCTTTTTATGTAGGCATTGTAGTTTTAGTTATATCAACTTACTAGTTATAGTAAGTTATAGTTATATCAACTTACTATTTTGAATTTGAATGATTTCCCGCCTTTTTGCCTCGATGTAGGTTTCCTTTCGAATTCAGGTAAATTCTTCCTTTTTTACGTTGATGTATTATAATTATTTCGAATTAGAATAAATTCGCACCTTCTTGCGTTCATATTAGTTACTTTGAATTCAAATGATTTCCCGCCTTTTTTTGAAATATTGTATATTTTTCACATATGAAATTCAAATAAAAAGGTGCAGTAAGAGAGTTAAAAATTAAAAATCTTTAAGTTTGAAATTATATGAATTTAAAAATTTGTAAATTCCTAAATTTGTGAATTTGTGAATTTGTAAATTTGTGAATTTGTGAATTTGTGAATTTGTAAATTTGTAAATTTGTAAATTTGTACATTTGTAAATTTGTGAATTTGTGAGTTTGTAAATTTGTAAACTTGTAAATTCGTAAATTTCTCAATATTTACATTCAAGAACATAAAAATTAATGTATTTGAAATTTATGCAAATACTTAAATCTGAAAATTTCATTTAAATACTATACATACATGTAACATTTACAGCAAAAAGGATACAGATAGCAGAATCGACGTTTTTTTTACATAAAAGTACATTGTTCCAGCTTAAAAAAAATCATTGGAAAAAACCTTGAAATTTGTCTCTGGTACCATTTATTTCGTTTCGTGGTATATTGCCCCCCCCCCCCCTCTGCACATCCATCGTGTCTCGCAAACGTTTCCAGCAAACTGTTATTTAGAGTGATACGTTTTATGTAAAAATACGACATTGAATGTCGAATCCTCCGATAAAAATAGTAAAACACATTTGTTACCATTTTTAGGAAAATTGAAAAATTCTACTGCACGTAAATTATTGCGTTTGATTTTAATTAAACTTAAGTTATTGACTGAACGACATTTTATTTGTAATGAAATAATAAATTCAAAACGGTCTACATTTCTTAATATAAAACTTTTTCTTATTTTCCACTTATTCTTTTCTGTAAAATAAATATGTTTACTTAATTGTAATTAAATAATACAAAATTAAAAAATTTTGTAATATTGAAGTAATTTATTGTAGTGAAAATTCGAAAATTTTTGCATGTATTGTAAATTAATAATACAAAAATTATTTATGTTTCATTTTCCTATAATTGTATATCTGGAATATTCATGAATTATTATTAATTTAATACTACAAAAAATTATAATTAAAAATTACAATTTGAATAAATATAAAGGTCAATGTTTTAAATATTAAGTTTTGCAAGAACTATGGTACATTAAACACGATACCTAATGAATATTTTCCGAATTCCTTTAATCAAGCAGTACAAGAATTAACTCGTCTAATTTCCCTCCGCTATTGAAGATGAAACTTTAAAATAAAAATGTTCGTTCCGCAAGATTAAAGCAACTTTGTATTCGCATCGTAATTACGTTGTTCTCTGCAACGTAGATTCATTGCGCATTCATGAAAAATGAAACTTCTACCGGTGCAGAAAGTGCGGCCATCCTTTTTAACTTTTTGCACCAACAATATCGATTGCTTCATAATTACTTACATAACTCTTAATACCCGTAGGATGTAAAATTGAATTTTTAATCGTCCAACGCTTGAAAACACCTGATAAGAAAAACGAAATAAATTTCATTATTTTTTATTTAGTTCGACGTCAGTAACTGATATCAATTTTAACGAAACGTTGCACGATTATTGAACCTATCTAAGAATATTCATTCATTGACGTTCATTTTTTACTTTAAAGGAAAACAACCCTTCGTGTGTAACAATAGTTTGCGTAACTTCTGATAAATCGTAAAGGATGAAAGACTTAAATTAAATAAAACAAAAAATTACACAAATTAGCATCGAACTCGAAACTCCATCTTCACGCAAACTTAATTTAAGTTTGACATATTTGAACTGTAACATATGTCACAAGTCTGACACATTGTTATATGATCTATTCTATTTGTAGTTCTAATATTGACTTCTAATATTAGTATTAACCAGTTAACTGTGATTGACGAGTATACTCGTCATGGCTCGATTCTGGCGACACAAAACGATGCGCGCTCTCAAACGAGGGCGCACAGTTAACTGGTAATATTGACTTCTAATATTAGTATTAACCAGTTAACTGTGATTGACGAGTATACTCGTCATGGCTCGATTCTGGCGACACAAAACGATGCGCGCTCTCAAACGAGGGCGCACAGTTAACTGGTTAAAATGTTTAGAGGTCAACACGAAATAAACAAATAAAAAGTGTAAATGACTTGAAATGGATTCATAAATTCTTGAGAACTCGTCATCGCTTGATTATCGACACACACTGGTGCGGTTTGCAAAAAGATCGCCACAGTTAACTGGTTAATAGTATTAGTTCTATATTAGTTCTAATATTAATCTTCATGATAATATATTAGTTCTACATTAGTTCTAATATTAATCTTCATGTTCATGTTTCGTGTCGTTCCTTTGTTTAAAAAACTGCAATTACAGCACATGCGTGAGTCGATGTCCACCCAGAAGCTTTCCAAATCAAGGAGGAGTTTGCTGGCCCTGTCACGAGTCCTGTGAAATCTGTGCCGGGGCTGGCCAGGATTCCTGTCTTTCCTGCGCACCTGCTCATCTTCGAGTTACTGATTTGGCTGTTTGCCTGCAGCAATGTCCTGAAGGATATTACGAGAGTGAGTACCATCAGTTACACTGACGCTTCAGAAACAGTAAATCTTGTACTATTATAGTCTTCGGAATTTGAGCATAGATGCTATGAGCTGAAGTATGAGGGATGGAAGGAGTTGTGTGAAAGTGAGGTATATTTGAGTGTAATGGGATGTGGGATTTGATTAAGTTTTTGAGTTACCACATCCTCAAATTTGTCGATTCTTAAGCTTCTAAATTGTTGTATTAGTAAATGATCAAATTACCAAATTGCTAAATTATCAGATTACCAAGTTGGCAAATTAAAAAATTATCAAACTAGGAAATTAGTGAACTAGCAGACAACCAAATTAGCAAATTAGTAAACTAGCAAACTAGCAAACTAGCAAACTAGCAAACTAGCAAACTAGCAAACTAGCAAACTACCAAATTACCAAACTTCCAAATTACCATACTAGCAAACTACCAAACTAGCAAACTAGCAAACTACCAAATTACAAAATTACCAAATTGCCACATTACCAAATCACCAAATCAGCAAAATAGCAAACTGGCAAACTAGCAAAATATCAAACCAGCAAATTACAAAAGTAGCAAACTAGCAAACTACCAAAATGCCAAGCTACCAAAATGCCAAATTACAAAAATGCCAAGCTAGCAAAATGCCAAGCTACGAAAATGCCAAATTACCAAAGTGCCAAGCTACCAAATTGCCAAGCTACGAAAATGCCAAATTACCAAAGTGCCAAGCTACCAAAATGCCAAATTACCAAAGTGCCAAACTACCAAAATGCCAAATTACCAAAGTGCCAAGCTACCAAAATGCCAAGCTACCAAATTGCCAAGCTACAAAAATGCCAAGCTAGCAAAATGCCAAATTACCAAAGTGCCAAGCTACCAAAATGCCAAATTACCAAAGTGCCAAGCTACCAAAATGCTAGGCTACCAAAATGCCAAGCTACCAAAATGCCAAATTACCAAAATGCCAAATTACCAAAGTGCCAAGCTACCAAAGTGCCAAGCTACCAAAATGTCAAGCTACCAAAATGCCAAGCTACCAAATTGCCAAGCTACCAAAGTGCCAAGATACCAAAATGCTAAACTACCAAAATGCCAAGCTACCAAAATGCCAAATTACCAAAGTGCCAAACTACCAAAATGCCAAGCTAGCAAAATGCCAAACTACTAAAATTCCAAGCTACCAAAATGCCAAGCTACCAAAATGCCAAATTACCAAAGTGCCAAGCTACCAAATTACCAAATCACGAAATCATGAAACCTCGATTTACCAAATTAAAACTATTAAATTATCCCCCCGCCCCACCCCCGAAAATTTCAAATTTCCAAATATGCAAATTTCTAATCCGCCAAATACAAGGTAAACCCCTTATCCCCTTCAACAAAAATATTAATATTCCACAACCTTCCTACATAATTAATAATAAAAGTATATCACTCTCAGTACCTCCTTGCAAACTACAAACATTATACAATATTTCCTACCATAAATCCCACAAAAACACAGCACAAATTCCGCAGTCACCATATCGCAACCTACGGCTTTTCCTCCCTTGATATATAAACGGTCATACGTGTTTTGGAAGGCAATTCGTAAAAAGTTACATTTGTTTTGAACGAAAATATTTGTACATTTTCAGACACGGAGAACGGAACATGTGTACCTTGCGAGGCAAACTGTGCCAGTTGCCAAGATAGGCCGGATAAATGTACCAGTTGCGAACATCACTTGGTTATGTATGAAAACAAGTGTTACGCGGCGTGTCCTTTGTACACCTACGAGACTCAAGATTACAACTGTGCGCCGTGCCATTCTAGCTGCGAAACTTGCAACGGCACTGCTGAAAATCAGTGCATCTCTTGTCGCTCAGGATTGTTCTCGCTAAACGGTGTGTATAATACAGTGATCATTAAAAGTTGACCATTGTTGTACTGATAACCTAGAAACTTTACCACCTTTTGCGTTCTAAAATTTGTACATAAATTAGTTTTGTTGGAGTAATGTTTAATCTAAATGAGAGTGGTGTACCACATGAAACACAAATATGTGGATTCATTGTAATATTTTTGCAGATATTTAGATTTATAACTGGTAGGTAACCTCTCATTAATGATGACATACTGTAGTAAACAAGTTTGATACGTTAGAACGATGAGGAGTAAGCTAATTTGATATGTGACATGTCTTAAGCCGCTGCCACGCGCATCAGTCTTAATACATTTGTGAATTTTTAAATTTGTGATTGACTTTTTTCTCTATGATTCTCTTCTTTTGTAATCAAAGAGTACTCAATGTGCATAGCAATATGAAATGCCTCATAAACCAAATAAATGTGTTTGTGACGTGACATGCAGCCTTAAGCCGCCACCACTTTGCTAATATTTTACCTCGTCCTTCTTTTCACGTAGCAATATGTATACCAAGAAAATAATCTACAACAAACTACCATCATAAACCGGTACCTCTCCCAAAAAGCCGGTGTTGCTTTAAAATATACTACATATTTAAACTACCACCTAAAATAATAAATACCAAAATACCATTTTAGGTGCCACACACATAACATTTAAACTACTACATAAGCTACAACAAATATCCATATACAGCAGTTAATTACAGCGTCCTGTTCAATAATTTACAGGAACCTGTAAGGCGTCATGTCCAGCTGGTTACAGCGCGGACAAGAAGCGCCGAGAATGCGTTCCGTGTCCTCCAGGATGCGCCACCTGTGCCACAGCGACCTGCACCAGCTGCATCGACGGATGGACCCTGAACAAAGAGAGTCTGTGCGCCCCTGAACACTACGATCGCTGCGATATATCCGAATTCTTCGACAATGGACACTGCACGTCGTGCCACACCTCCTGCAAAACTTGCGCTGGACCTGCGGACAGCGACTGCATATCCTGTCAGAACTCGCTGCTTCTTCAAGGAAAACGATGTGTCTATCAGTGCGATGACGGATATTACTCCATGGCGCAACCTTCGAGGGCTGTGTGTGTTCCTTGTTTACATACTTGCAAGACCTGCGTGTCCAGGTTGAACTGCACCGCGTGTCAGGATGGATTGCAGCTGCAGAGCGGAGAGTGTAGGTCTTCTTGCGCGCAAGGGTGAGTTTTATGATTAGAACTTGTGAGTTTGTGTTGGAAAATTGATTGTGTGGGAAGGATAATGTGTGGACCTTCATCATGTGAGGATCTTGACTGCATAGGACTCTGGGGATTAGTAGGTCCTTTGGGAATATGGAAAGCTAGCTAGATCCCAGATCTTGTATTGGGATTGTAGCTGAGCACCTTGTCCACATTGAGATTGTTTAATCTAGGAACTATAGCTAAGGACCTCGTCCATATTGGGATTCTACAATGTAGGGACTATAGCTGAGCACCTTGTCCACATTGAGATTGTTTAATAAAGGGACTATAGCTAAGGATCTTGCCCATGTAGGAACCTTTCAATATAGGAATTGTACTAACATACGAACCTTGACCACATATGGATCTTATTCACATTGGGACCTCCTAACATAGGTGCTATAGTTTGAATCTTTTCAACATAGGAACCCTGTCAGCATAGGAACCTTGCTAACATAAGGACCTTGATCACATAGAAACCTTGCCCACATTAGGATCCCCTAACATAGGGTGCTGTAATACGGAACTTGTCAGCATAAGGACCCTACTAACACAAGAACTTTGCTAACGTAGTGACCTTGATCACATAGAAACCTTGCTCACATGGGATCCCTTAACATAGGGTTCTATAGTTTGGAACTTAGCATAAGTACCTTTCCAACATAGAAACCTTACTAACACAGAGATCTTGATCACATATAAACCTTGTCCACATTGGGATCTCCTAACATAGATGCTGTAGTTTGGACCTTACCAACATAGAAACCTTATTAACATAAGGACTTTGATCACATCGAAACCTTGCCCATATTGATCTAACATAGCTACTGTAATTTAGACCTTGCCATGTGGAAACTAACACAGGTCTTACTGACATAGGAACCTTGATCATACAGAGATCATCAAGTCCACATTAGGAACTGTAGCTATTATTTACCCACATTAGGAATTTCCCATGTTGGAACCCTCTCACGCTCAACCTTGCTCACGTTCGAATCTTTCCACATTAAAACCTCATGAATCTTCTCAAGAATCTCGATCTTCGCACATAGAACTCTTTACACTCTGACCATTTCCACTATGACCTTAGAGCCTTCTGATATAACAAAATTCTCAGATGAGAACCTTGATCATATTGAGGCCATCCCACATCTATTATAGATTATAACACCTAGGTACCTTGTCTACATATAAATCCACATAACGATCTTAGTCACATTAGCACACGTTCGCATTGAAATCTTTTCCTATTAACCTTGACTGCATCGGAACCTTCCCACATAGGAACCATACTTCATTAACACCTCCTTATACAGGGACATTCCGACATAAGAAACTTGATTACCGTATATAGAAACCTTGATTACCTTATACAAGAGCGCTAATTACAACCTGTAAGGTCTGACGTATGGACCTTATTCAAGCTTGTCCACATGTAGTCCGTATGTTACCAATATTTGGAGACTTGTGTATTTCATCCACATAGTTTGCTAATAGTCTAACGTTACATTCACATCAACTTCCATGATTTCTTACTAGGTCTACAGTAACATTAGCAAAGTTAAAAACTTGACAGCCTTTCATAATTTTTATTATTGATTCTAGCAATCAGCTTCCATTATCGATTGCAGCAGTTCTTAACTTCCATGTTTCTTGTTATTGATTCCAGCAATATTTAACTTTCATGAATCCTCTTATTAAGTCCAAGCATCCTTAACCTCCACAATACCTCTCGAATCCGAAGTTCTTAAAGTTCTCTCGAGAGATCTGAAAGTTTCCAGCTGAAATCCTATCTGTTGCACGCAGGTATTACAGCGACAGGGGTCAATGTGCCAAATGTTACCTCTCGTGCAAGACGTGTTCCGGGCCCCGAAGAGATCAGTGCGTAACTTGTCCTCGAGGATGGCAACTCGCAGCCGGAGAATGTCATCCGGAGTGTCCCGAAGGATTCTTCAAATCTAACTTCGGTTGTCAAAAGTGTCATCACTACTGTCGCACGTGCAAAGGTGAGAGAGGATCTTGTGTCGGAGATTTTTCAGAAGTGACAACGTGATTGTAATGCATTACAGGGGAAGGTCCATTAGAATGCACCTCGTGTCCTCCGCATTCCATGCTAGAAGGTGGTTTGTGCATGGAGTGCCTCGGGGCGCAGTATTACGACCCTCTGACGCAACTTTGCAAGAACTGTCACGCTGATTGCCGAAGGTGTACGGGTCCTGGGAAATTCAGTTGCGCGGCTTGTTCGCCGCCGTTGCATTTAGACAAATTGAATAATCAGTGCGTACCTTGTTGCACGGGCAACGAGAAGGGAACCGAAGCTGAAGAGTGTTGCCTTTGCGATCCGGAAACTGGTAAACTGCGAATTTCATCGTTGATTAAATTGACACTGAGGGTGATTTTAATTTTATGGTTTCTTTTACAGGTGGCTGCAGGAACAGCTCACCGGCAGGTAAAAGAAGAGTGCCAGGCACAGAATTTGCGGCGGCCGATACGGCCATTTCTGAAGTGTATGCGAACTACGAGGGAACAGCCGATAAAAACGATTCAACTACACTGGCGATAACAGCAACTACAACTATTGCTGTTGCCATCTGTCTGGTGTCCGTCGCATTGTTTGCCACTATTTTCATTGCACTTCAGGTACGTATTTTCGTTCTCACTGAGATCAATACAGTTATGTTAGGATAATTAAGTTGATCTAATTGAGTTAGTACACCTTAAATCTATTCGATTAATTTAGGATAACACCTTAAATCGATTGAACTAAGTTAGGATAATCCTGTATTGCGAGATTTCGATCAATTTGTTTTCATTCAACCGATTCATCCTTCTTCAATTCGTTTGCCCACTTCTAAACGGTCTGCCGACTTCTCGTCGATTTGTCTTCTTCCAGCCAGTTTATTTCTTTTTAAGCGGATCATTTACGTATAGTCGGTTTGTCCACTTCCATTTATATATGATCGCTACTTTTTTGGTTGGTTCATCTAGTTGATCTCTTTTCTTCCAGTCAGGTCGTTCGATTTTAGTCGATTCATTGACTTCTTGTTCATTTGCTTTCGTTCGTCTTTTTCGATTCTTCATCCTCAGCTAGTTTGTCCTCTTTCGGTTGATTCGTTATTTCTAAGTTCATTATCTTTTTGCTGCATGATTTCTCTTTTGGATTATCATACTTCAGTTGAATTATTGTCGTTCAGTTGGTTCATCATTCTGCTGTTGAATGATCATCTTTCAATTAGTTCAGCATCCTTCAGTTGGTGTCATTTACGTATAGTCGGTTTGTCCACTTCCATTTATATATGATCGCTACTTTTTTGGTTGGTTCATCTAGTTGATCTCTTTTCTTCCAGTCAGGTCGTTCGATTTTAGTCGATTCATTGACTTCTTGTTCATTTGCTTTCGTTCGTCTTTTTCGATTCTTCATCCTCAGCTAGTTTGTCCTCTTTCGGTTGATTCGTTATTTCTAAGTTCATTATCTTTTTGCTGCATGATTTCTCTTTTGGATTATCATACTTCAGTTGAATTATTGTCGTTCAGTTGGTTCATCATTCTGCTGTTGAATAATCATCTTTCAGTTGGTGCATCATCTTTCAATAGATTCATCATCTTTCAGTTGGTTCATCATTTTTCAATTGGTTCATCATCTTTCTGTTAGATTATTATCTTTCAGTTGAATTATTGTCGTTCAGTTGGTTCATCATTCTGCTGTTGAATAATCATCTTTCAGTTGGTGCATCATCTTTCAATTAGTTCAGCATCCTTCAGTTGGTTCATCATTTTTCAATTGGTTCATGGTCTTTCTGGTGAATTATCAACCTTCAGTTGAATTATTATTGTTCAGTTGATTTATTATCCTGCTGCTAAATGATCATCTTTCAGTTGGTGCATCATGTTTCAACTGGTTCAGCATCCTTCAGTTGGTTCATCATCTTTCAATTGATTCATCATTTTGCAATTAGTTCATCATCTTTCTGTTGGATTATCATCCTTCAGTTGAATTATTATCGTTCAGTTGGTTCATCATCCTGCTGTTGAATGATCATCTTTCAGTTGAATTATTATCTTTCACCTGGTTCATCATTTTTCACTTGGGCCTCCAGAAGGTTCATCCTTCCAGTCAGTTCGATGTTCCCCACATATATTTTTTCTCTAACCTATCTTTATATCCATCAGATTTATGTCCCTTACAAATAAAACCCTTGCTTCATTATTTCCAGGCTATGTCAAGCAGAAGAGAAACGAACAAAGGTTACACGCAGCTGGCCATGAGGGTGGAGCCTCCTGACGATGTGGATGTTGACGACACGACGGAGCTGATGACCTAGATATCTTCGGCAACGACAACCTCTCGTCGAAGAGTTAAATGAAAGTCGTCCAATTTCGACATCAGGATCAAATTTATCGGTGTGTTCGTGCGGCGTTAGTAAAAAAAAAAGAAAAAATGGAACGTGTCAGTCGGGATCGATAACCGCCGCGATTCCAGTTTAAAGAACAAAGTGGTCCCGGACGAAGAGGAACAAAAGTAAAAACACAAAAAAAAGTAAACATAGAAAGAACAAAATATTAAATATTCGTTTGAGAGAAGAGAGGAGGAGGAATAAGGGGAGAACAGTGTCGTATAAGAACGGGGACGAAGGATTCGTTCGAATCGTGATAGCAAAGACACCATTTTCTTTTTTGGGGCGCACTGTACGTCGAAAGTGTGACTGTTGTTCACTTCTATAATTGACAGTGCGATTGCGTGCTCGTTGTCGTGTGTGTGACGGTGAACGAGGTGTTTAAGTACGTATTCTTTTAATTTTTTTTTCTCTGAACGGTCAGGCGCGTCGAGAGCACATGAGACCAGTGTGTAAATGTCGTAATAACTTTTAATGCAAGTAACGCAGTTAAAAAAAAGGGTGACGGACATTATAAAGTGCCTGGTTTGCAACGCCCTTGACAACACCGTTTCGTCTACCCTTTTTCATTGCCTTCTATCCTGAGCAAAAATGATTTACGCGATCGTGACGATGAATTTGAAAAAATTGCATTAATTCTTAAGTTACGGACCAGATGTACATACCGACGAGAAACGGGGATAGCAGGCTGAACAAAAGAAAAGGGAAGACAGTAGCAATGTTAAAGAAAAGAAAATGAAAAGGAGATTTGTAAAATGATTTCTGGCCCCGGCATGTGTATCAGTCATTCCGTCGTTAACGAATAACCAACCGCATTTTTGTAACTGTTTCTTGTTATTGCTACAACATTTTGTGTTGTTTGGATGTCTTGTACGTTTTTATTTCCACGCGTTATTTCCGTTATATTCGTGTTATTGTGAACAGAGAATGACTACATTGTTGGTGTGATTACACCAGGAAACTATATTTTCTTTTTTTGGGGATAAAAAACTGAAAAAGAACGTTTGCGCAGTAGACTCCCGTTATATTGCCGTAGACGAGATCGTAGACGTAGACGATTCCTTTAAATTGGCAATATAGAGATTCTTAAAGTGCAACGACGGAGTATTATTAACTAGTGATGGATCGCTAGAATGGTGGCAATATAACGGGAGTCTACTGTAGTAATAATAGTAATAATAATGGGAAGAACACACGAAACAGTCCTCGGTAAATCTACTATCCGCGCCTACCGTGTGAATATTGAATTTCTCCTCGTGATTTGATATAAAGCTATTATTGTACTTTTATGATGAACGCGATTATAAATATATACATATACATATTAATATACATATATATATCTATATACACACATACTCAGGCGTTTAAATATATTCTGAGTTTCGTGTTCCCAATGAAATATTCTTGGATCCTCTGTCATTTTTACCTGCTGTTATCCTCATATTGTTTATTCATATTCATCCATCTCATCCAATGAGTTGTTAAGGTAAGTACGTTTATTGGAGTCCTTTGAAATTATAACAGTGTAAAGGTATATGAGAATGTAAAGTAAAAGGGTTTTGTTTGTAGTAGAAAGCCATTACTTAATGAAACGTTAAAAATTAATATTGGAATAGAATGCACAGGTGCTTTTAATGGATATTTCTTATTTAAAAGTATGAGTAATGTCTTGGTGTTGCTTCTACAGTTTATAGATCTTCTTTCTACTTTTGGTTGGTCAATACTTATCTTCTCTGTTTAATAATTTTGGGTTTAATTAAGTGGGTATTTGGGTTTTATACCAAAGTTAAGTTACTTACTAAAGTTCGGTTAGGTCAATGTAGTTCTGGCACATACTTTATTTAATCCTTTTTATTATTATTAACTTGAGGTACCAAGTAATACAAGAATTTATTGATTCATTATTGATTTGTCATTCATCCTATTATGGCTTGTTATTGATTAATCATTAACTTTTGAGTTAAATTACTAGTGCTTTGCTTTATTATTACTGTTTAAGTTAAGGTATTGTTACTATAGATTTCTCAGTAAATTTTAAGTTATTATTAGTTGGTATTGATTTGTCACTAATATTAGATTAAATCCTATTGCTTACTATTGATTCGCTATTATCTTTGAAATTAAATTTCCTTCATAGTGATTACTATTGAGATCTTATTGATTCATATGTTGCTGTTAATTACATCAGATTTATTATTAAGTATGAAGTTACATTTCTATTGTTTACAATTGATTCATTATTAAATCTTATGTTACTAATAGTAAATCAGTTAACACAATAGTAACAATAGTAATTTTCAAGCTATATAATTATTACAAATTTAAGTCACAATAAATCTTATGACATATTCTTATAATCAATTAAATTGAGTTGACATATAGTTTTAAAATTAAATTACCATATAACTTTATAATCATTAACTCAATTTATAACATGCATTAAGAGTTGCTTTCCTTATTATTATTATGTTAAGTTATCATACAAGTTCCTTACTATTATTAAGTTACCATGTAACTCAACAATTCCTACTATTTTTAAATTGAGTTCATATATCATCAAAGTAATTTCCTCAGTATTAATTTCAGTTACTACTGTAACCAATTATTATCCTTGTTTTCATGAATTTATGTAAGTATATTAAGAACTGTTACATTTATTATTATTAACTTAACTTTCTAACTTTATCACTACGTATTTAAGTTACCTCATAAGTTATGAATTATAATCCTTACTGTTAACTTAAGTTATTATGTAACTCAAGTATCTGTACTATTAACTCAAATTACAATATAACCTCAAAATATTACTCCTATTACAATTAACTTAAATCACAATCAGAACTATACAATTATAAATTAATTCAACTAATTTTTTGCATTCATACTAAAATTAGATTTATCCTATATTTTAAATTCATACAACCCCGACACATTCTGAATAATTAAAACTCGAAACAAAGTTATTAAAACAACCCCTTTTTTTGCAGCCACGAGCATACTAGAATAACTGAATACAAAAAAAAATCAATGTCTCTATTATTTTTATCGCGACCATCGGTGTGAATCAAACATTTTCCGCGAGTAATCATTTTAAAAACCCGTATAACTTTCTATTTGTACGTTATGCGTCACACAATTCCGTTAATATTCGCCTGACCGTGTCCATCCAATTAATTCCAACGGTTTTACCGAACGCGTGAATTTTTCAATGGTTCATCGTGCGTTGACAAAATTGGTATACGACAAGGCCCATGATTTATCGGATCCACCTATAGACACGACGGTTCTTTGCGTTTTCCAATGCACGAAGAAGCTGCTGAAACGAGTGAAAAATCGAGGATTATACCGTGAGCAAAGCTGTGATTTATCGAGCAGTACATCGTCATGATTCAACGTCTGCTAGGTTTTGCCAACGTTTCGTCTGCGCGTCCGAAATTTCTGCGAGTATTAATCATCAGAATGCTCGAACGAATGACAAACCGTCAAATTCGATCCTCGAAATTGTACACCAGCCATGCGATATTAATTGTAGCCCCTGTGGAACATCGGTAGTTTTCTACTTTCATACTGGGTGTCTCGTAAAATCTGCATTATTTATGTGAGCAAAGTAAGATTAAAACTTATTCAAATTTTCACTCAATTTCAAGTGTGAGGCCACGTTTGAGGCTTCAAAAAATTGAAATGGCATTCTCTGTTCTGATTAAGAATTTACTGTATTGAAAATATAATAATGTTTCAATACGAAATTTATTTTTAAAGTTAGTTTACAATCAATCTAAAACACTAGTAGGTTTACAGCGATTTAAACTATGAGGTGAAGAAAATAATTTACCAATGAGTAGCTTTGTTAAATAATTTCTTACAGTACTAAAAATAAAAGTATATAATAAACACTGCAAGTTTCTGTCATAAAATTTAGGGTAGTTTTATTGCAAGATATAATGAAGATCATTTCTCAAAGAGTAGCACCAAATGGTTCTATTGTCGCCATTTTGTCTTCACGTAATTGAGCAACCTCAAGTTTAATATACCTCAAAATATGTAGAATAATACCGAGGAATTAATTGAAAAGATTTAACATTTATGTTATTGCTTAATCAAAAGAAAGTCAGTAAGTTATATACATATGCATTCGAGGTCTCAGAAGTAACCTAACCTAACAGAATCAAATTATTTCTTCCTGAAAATTACTTTACTTTTATTCAAAATATTTTCTGATGCCATGAAAAAATGTACAGATATCACTTAATAACATTCTGTACATTTATTTATCGTAACACAGCAATAAACAATATTTTCTTAACAACACTCACTATGAATTTATTTCTAACCTCTATTTTGTCATTATGATCAGTGAGCTCTTGAATAATATCTAAAAAAATTAATTTGAAGGAACCAAACTGCAGAACAGAATATACTTTCTCCTTCATCAAATTTATCACAATTACGTGGATTCTAAAAAATAATATCGCAACATTATATTGCGAATTCCTTTCCATACAAAAGAGAAGGTCACGTGACCCTCCATATATCACATTTCATGCAAATCATATTGGAAACTTTTAATCACGTCCGTGTCTTCTCGTGTTCACCTCATTTTCCATTTTACTAACTTGATCCCTGTAAAATGAAGGAAGATGGACGCGGAATTATCGCAACCGGTATAATTAAAGCGATAGCGCGATAAAACCGTGGCACGTACGTAAACGGGATTTGCCTTCACGAATTTACGATATCCGCTTACGATACGACAGCCAGCCTGATAAAAGTAGAGGCACGCGAATTATCGTTACCGAATTTATCGGTTAACCTGTTATCACGATCGGTGTATCGACGAAACGTATATCAGGATCACCTCTATATGCCGGTTCGAACTTTTCGAATAGATCCTTCATGTCCATTCGTTTCCAATATTCTCTTGATGGACGTACAGTGGATACATGTAACGTTAGGTGTTCCAATAAATACATTTTATTTCACGACATTATTCTGATAAACAAATACTTGTGTACTTTTAGTCTGAAATTCAAATTTACAAATTATTCAAAAAATAATTGGTTACTTATTACTGTATGTAATATTACTGGGATATATCTGGGCTATATGACTAGGGCTATATCTGGGTTAGGTAATATTGGGTCACCTTTCAATCGCATGACGTAGGTAATATTGGGTCAACCTTGAATCATATGGCTAATTAGTAATTAGAAGTAAACTTGACAAATATAACTGAAGGTAGCACATTATTTTTCTTGGTAATAGTTGAAAGTAATTCTAAGAACATGTTCGACACCAGAATAGTTGTACCGATGTCAACCCATGAGTTGGCGCGTGACCCAAAGTAAAAGAAGCTCTATGAACACTTCCAGTGACATATCGGCAAATAAGAATAATAATGACAACTGCTGAGTGCAAGTAGCATCTCGCTCACTTGAGAGACGTTTCAAGACTGTCATTGTTTTTCGCCTAATTGGTGTGCGTGACCGCGAGAGCCAATCTACCGCCGAAAATACGTGTGAGTGGCGTCCATTTTTCTATTCTGACCAATTGTGCCGTGGCTACTTGGGGATGTATCGATTTGGAGATGTAGGAATTTGGGAATATAGCGATTTGGGGCTGTGGCGATTTGGGTATGCGCGAATTTTGGAATGTAGGAATTTGGGAATGGAGGGATTTGGGAATGTGGGGATTTGGAAGTGTAGGTATTCGGGAAGGTAGGAATTGGGGGATGTAGAGATTTGGGGGTGAAGTGATTTGGGTATGTGAGAATTTTAGAATATAGGAATTTGGGGGTTGAGGGATTTGGGGATGTAGGGATTTGGGGATGTAGGGATTGGGGAATACTTGGATTTGGGAATGTAGAGATTTGAGAAATAATGGATTTAGAAAATTAGGAATTTGAAGACATAGGAGTTTGGGAAATTAGGGATTTGGGGACATAGAAAATTGGGAAATTATGGATTTGGAAAATTAGAAATTTGGGAATGCAAAAATTTGGGAAAATAGGGATTTGGGGACAAAGGAGTTTGGGAACGCAAGGATTTGCGAAATCATGAATTTGGAAAATTAGGAAATTATGAATGTAGAGATTTGGGAAGGTAGGGATTTGGGAATGTAGGGATCCAGAGGTATAGAGTATTAATACATAGATGGATAATTTCATATTGCAATAAAACAGTAAAGTGAACAAATACAATCGACTTATTAATATTCAGTTTCTTCTAAATTTTTAAGATATTTATAAAAGCAACTATATTAACATTCATAACCTCATTTTAACTGTATAATATTTTAAACTTAATACGTAAAATCGTCCTCATGAAATTTATGTAGAATACAAGATTGTTTGCATATA